TTGACTTAGCAGACGAATCGAACAACATATGTATGTCACATCCCGAACTTTTACCACTGGTACACTACACTTTAACCAATTTTTTAAATTCTTTAAATTCTGAAATTTCATTCAGTTGTTGTAGGGTGTGTCGTTTTGTAGGGTGTGTCAATGAAGTGTTCGAGTGGAATACTGCTGAGATGAACACATACACATGCATATATTTATTTCAGATATACATTTAATATCACTGAAATATGTAAACACATAGCTATTCAATTTTGAAAATTCAAGAAATAATTTTTATTCAAAAATATTATTTAATATTTATTAAAATGAGGCTAGTTTTGTGGCTTAAAAATTTTGAATTTAAAAATATTTTAAATTCTCTTTTTTAACGATTTTTTAATTTAATTCCTTCATATACTTCAATGGCTGTACAAACAGCTCCAATTAAAACAGAAGCGTGACTAAAAAATAATTATAAATTAACATTTTTTAGTCAAAGATTACCTCGATAACCCAAAAAGTAATCCAATCATTGAAGATTCCAAATCAGGCGCAGTCCATTGTGTAAGTAAAGAAAATAGAAAACCACCAAAGAGAACTAAAATTAATTTAAATTTGACAATAATTTTTTAACGTTAAATAAATGGGATGAAGTAGACATGTGCAATATAGGAGCTAAATTCAGATATATAGGTCCTAAAATAATTGCAAATTTGGATAGAAAACTCAAGTTTCTATCTAAATTCGGAATTAAAAACATTTTTGTGTATATATCTTCCCCTCTTGTTTATAATTAAAAATACAACGCTTAATTTCTATTTAAAAAAATTAAAATACAAATTCCAGATGTTGCTTTAATCGCTGGCTTGTTATTTCCAAATAATGAATTAAAGTCAGAACGTCCATCTGCCTGTTTATACCAACGAAAGCCAACAATACTTTATTAATTTTTATTTAAAATATTAATTTAGAGAAATTACCCAAGTGCCCCACTGCCAAACAATAAAGGAATTAAAACAAAAATGAAGCTAACTTCTCTCCAAGAAAGATATAAAGTTAAAACCTTAAAAATATTTACTATGTCATTATTTAATATTTTAATTTGTTAAAATTAACAAAAAAATATTTTTTAAATAAATTACCGCAAAAGTCAAAGCAACTAAATGTGCTGTTCTCAATTGTTGAATAACTCGATTATACGGGTCTTGTGTAGTAAGTCTGTCTCTAACTTCTAAAAATTAATTTTTCCAAATCCAAAATTTAATTTTAAGCACCTTTCTGAACTCTATCAGAAAATTTTTCTGCTTCCTCCTTTGCTTTTTCAAAAGTTTCCATTATTTAAAGATTTATATTAGTTGTTTTATTGTTTAAAATATTATCTAAATATTTATGTAAATATTAATTTAAAAAATTTTAAAAATTCAGAAATATTTAAGATTATTAAAAGCTAAAAATCTTTTGATACAAAGTAAATAACTGCCAAATTTTTTTTAAAAATAATACATATTTTCTCTCAATTTTTTATTTACTATTTTGTTTATTTACTCATTTTTTGCGTGTAAATCAATACTTAACGGCCAGTGTTTTTTATTTTGAATGGCTCTAAAATTAAAAAAAAACAAAATGAGTCATATTCAGGATGTAGCATAAAATTTTGAATTTATGCAGAAAAAAGCCAAAAAAATTTTTACTTTTATTAATTAAAAAGGAGAGCTCGAAGAAAAAGCAGATTACAAACAAATTTACATAAATCCTCTCAAGATTTGAGGCTAGTAAGTCTCTCGGCTCATAGTTAACCTAATCCCTTTCAGTTTCTTGATTTGAAATAAAAATCAATAAAACGTTAATATTTTTTAAATAATTTTCTTAAAAATAAAAATAAATGGCCCATGAACAAACATTTTCCTTGCCTTAAAAACAAGATTCTTTCGCAATCGACAAATGAGGACACAGAGAGCCCACTATCTCCAACAGTTAAAAACTCACTCATGATCAGAAACGATTCATGTATTTCTTTGCCTAGAGAAGAAAATATATTTTTTATTTAGTTTGTGACAGCTGTTGTTGTTTTAGTATCTTTTAGTTGGGCAGGTTTTTTCAATAAATGAATGAAAAGAAATAGAAAGTATAAAAATATTTTTGAACTATTAACTAATGAATTGTTATATGAAATTAACGGTAAAAACAATAATTTAAAAAGAGGTAAAAAATATATAGAATAAGTGGCATGATAATAAAGATTTGGTAAAAATATTTTCGAGTCTTGTTCTAATCGGGCCTTATTTTTTCGAGTCATTTGTTTCGGGCCTCATATTTATCTTTTTCGGGCAAAAATTCAAGGCCCAGTTGGAGAGCCGAACCGGGCCCCAACCCTAGTACAAATGGTTGGATAAGATTAATGCATTATTTAGGAAGAAAGATGGAATAAAAAACTAATTCAAATTTAAGTACTTTCTTCAAATCTCTTTTCTTCAAGTTTACAAGGAATGAAATTTGTCTTCTTCTAAAATAAATATTCTCATAAATTTATTAAAAAATTGTACTGACTTGATGACTCCAACCGAATACAACCGCTTGTGCCAGCCATTTCCAGGCCAGACAACTTTAAAGTCATCAAATAAATAATTAAATTAACAATCTTTTAAATTCAAATAATAATATTAATTGAGAATACGAATTAAATATCCATAACATTTTAACATAATTCCACATATATAATTAATACATTTTCTTTAACAATTATATCACTCCACTTCTTCAACACGCGTGTGCATCAGCGGGAAACGGCGCCATCCCCAGTCAGCACTTTTAAAAGTAAAATTTCCCTCGTTTATAAATAAAGCTAGGCGAATATTTCTAAAATATTAAATAGGGAGCAGAAAAGTAGAGAGAAAAAAAGTAAAGAGAAAAATAAATAAATATTTTGTGAATGGGAAAATCTAAAAATAATTTCGAGGAAAATAATCAACAGACATGAAAACTTTTGGACGAAAATTTTAATTTAGATTGTTAATTAAATATCCCTGTTAGGATCAGATTAGTATCAGTTAGTCACTAAAGATTTTATAATAACTAGTCCAAAGCAGAGGTGAATCGGAAGTGACAAAGGTGCCGGAAATCAGAACTGTCGGAAATCAGAATTTCGATTCACCTCTGGTCTAAAGTATTAATTTAAATTATAAACTCAAGAAAATTTAATTTAAAATTCCAAAAATTCTTTTATTAATTTTAATGTAAAATGGCTAAGATATAGTGAAATTTATCTCGTTGCAATATTTAACCCTTGACAATATTTATTCTTTTATTTTGGATTCCAATTTCCAACAGCTTCACTGTGGGTAGCGTAACTAAAAAAATTTATTTAAAATTTGTTTTAATCCACTTTGTTAAAATTTTTTAAATAAATTCTCTCTTTAATATACCTTGGAGGTGTCTTACTGGCAGGTTGTGATTGAGAAAGGAAATTACGCCTTCGTCTAACTGGATTCCAATTACCAACATGTTCTTTATGTGAAGCATATCTAAATAATTTTTAAAATAAATAAATAATGAGGATGTTATTATTTTAAATTAATTTTTTAATTAAATAAAATTTATAATTAACATTGTTGGTGTTCCCGATTGTTTTTCAGCATTGGAAATGAATTGAGCATCTAGTATTAAATTAGATAAAAATATAAATTTTTAAATAAAATTACCAATTAAAAAACTTCCAATTAGAAGAAGCAAAAATGTAAAACAAATGAAGAATTTCATTTTAAAAAATATATTTTATCCTTAATTTATTTACTGAAATCTTTAATATATTTATGGTAATAGTTATAATTCCTTTGTTTTGTTAGGTATTGTAAATAGGTATATCCTTTGAGATAGAGGTGTATCTCTGATAGTGTGATCGCTTAAGTTACTTCCCGAACCAAAAATATATTCAATAAGTTTGACTGTATATTTTATTTAGCCTAACACAAGTCCACCTACATTGGGTTCTAATTATCGTGTTTTAACTAAACGAGGCAGTCTTTGAACTCAAGACTAAATAATATATCCATAGGTAGGTTCTGGGATTACAACTAAATTTTACCTTATACATATTAAAATGAATCTAAATTGTTTTTTAAAAGAGTAATTATTATAAAAATGAATTGAAATAGGTAAAAATTAACCAATTTTTAAATATATTTATTTGCCTTTGTGTACAAAGTCTGTTGACGTTTCAGAAAATTTTTATTATTATAAATACAATTTAAATTATTAAATAAAAGATTTTAAAAAATACCGGTTTTGGCAAAAAATTATTTGCCAGAGGGTTTTATCAAAGTTTAAATATTTTTTAAATTAAATAAATTTTTCCATTTTAATTACTAATTAATCATTTTTAATAATTTAAAATATTTTATTTAATTTTCAAAAAATTCTTTTGTTTAAAACTTTTAAAATAAAGATAAATATTTATTTTAATGTTGTACTTTTTGGCCATAAAAATTAATTCTTATTTGTAATGTTAATATTTGATTTAGAAAAACTTTTTATTTAACTCAAAAGTTTAAAAAATATTTGTATTTAAAAATTAGGAAAATTATTTCTATTGTAAAAGGGAATCAGTCTGAATTTAATAATTTGGTAAAATAATCAAAAATTAGCTAAATAATATAAGTGTAGTTAATTTAAAAAAAACTACATCATGTTTTAACATTTCACTGAAGGGGTAAGAGGGCGGATCAAAACTTTCAAAAAAACAACAAAGTATTTTAACTCCAAGGATTTAGTTAATCATCTACCTCTAAATTTAAAATAAATCAACCCACATTTTTCTTAAATCATTGATTTTTTATGTGATTTTTTATTAAAATCTCCACAAGGAAAAGAGTAAAACTAACATAAAAATTTAGAAGGGTGAATAAATATTTATAAATTACATATTGAAATAAACAGTATATTGACACTTGTAAATATTTAAATTAAACCTAAAGATTTTTTACATTTAAATTTATCTACAAGTTTATCAAGTTTAATCACCGATTTCGTTTATTTTTAAAAAACCATTCGGGCGGTTCAACAAAAAATACTCCACCATCCATGGCACAATATGTTGGGCATACACCTTTGTGTCCATCATCTCCAGATTCGCCGATTGGACCGGGAGGACCTTTTAGTGGAAATTACAATTTTGATTTCTACAAAATGTTACCAGTCGTTCCAGGTGTCCCAACTCTTCCAGCTTCTCCTTGTGCGCCTTTTCTTCCTTGTGGTCCTTGTGGGCCGTCAATTCCAGGCAATCCTCTTGGACCAGACGGACCGATCATACCAACCTCGCCTGTAGGACCGGAAGGGCCAGGAATAAAAGGAGTAGGTTGTGCATCCTTGAAGACATTTATTTAGCTTAATAAATTGTAAAAAAAGAAACCTGCCCGGGATCACCGTCCTCGCCATCACTTTATAATTAGAATATAATGCAGTATTAGTATTAATACTAATATTATTTATTATTATCAGTATTCTGGTTATAGTTTTATTTTCCTTATGTTTTGAGTAGGGAACCAAGGGATTTTCGGTTTGGTTCTTCGGTTCAGAACAGGATATCAGAAAATTTTCCAATAAATGACAATGCTAGTTTTAAGTCATTCTTTTTTCTTTCACCCTTTAAGACAATTTATTTATTCTTATATTTTTATATTTCATTTTATAATAATTTTGCTTACAGTCCAGGCACTCCTGGAGGTCCATTCATTCCTCGCGCACCTTTAATTATTTACTTTTTGTGCTAATTGTCATAAAACAATTTGAATAATTATACCTGTTTTACCATCATCCCCATTCTTTCCTTGCAATCCCGGTGGTCCTTTATTTCCATTATCACCCATTGCCCCCTAAAATTTTATTTTCAAATTTACGATAAATTAAAGATAAAGCGACCATTTGCCCTGGCGGCCCTTGCAATCCTTGCGGGCATTTCTCTGGACAATATTTTTTTAGGTCCTGCAATGGTTCACAAGGTAATCTGGCAGGAATGCCTGGTGCTCCCTTTAATTTTACAAAAAATATTTTGTATTTTGATATAATTTTGTTTCACTTTTGCTCCAGGGGTGCCACGCATTCCTTTACGACCGGGCGTTCCCTGTACACCAACTTCGCCTTCTCCACATCTTAAGATAAACAATAAAGTTTAAAAATAAAAATAAACTAACCGACAAGTCCGCGATGGTTCTACCCCTTCACTTCTTAATTGACGATAATCACCCTGTGTACTAACAATATGCCTGAAGTTCCTCTAAAAAATATAAAATTAAGAAGATGATCTCACTTCTCTTCTCTAATATTTTAAATTCCTCACATTTTTTGTTCTATTCATTACAAAATCCACTGTCCTAGCCATAACAAAATGTTGTAAATTTTGATTTTTTCTAAAATTGCCACTATTGTATCGCTCAACAAAAACATCAACAAGAGCAGTTGAATCATCTGCCATTGTCTGGGCATTTTCCTCACAAAATTTCAACATTCCTTTTTAGTTTAAATTTTAAATTTTCTACACAAATACCCTACCATCAAATTGTGAGGTTGTAAAATTAAGGAACTGGTAAAGGACTGGACAAACAGAAAATAAACTGGCCCATGCACAAACTAAGGAAAAGATATTTCTGTTTGAACTTTACCAATAAAAATTAACCCGAAATGCACAAACAAACAATCATAACCCCTTTGAATGCATTTTCTCTCCTAATGTCTTCCTCTTCAAAAAGGTTGAAACCGGAGGAAGGTAATACTGATGAAAATATTTGTGTTTTCTCTGAAACTAATGCTGGTTGTGCCAATGTTGAATTAACATTTCCGCTGTAACAACATTGACTTGCATCTTCAATCAAAGTTGTTCCTTGATCATTAAGTTTGTTTGTTTGGTGTTGAAAATTTTGTTGATGTTGCTTTTTTCTATTTAAATTATTTTGATTTTGTTGTTGATTGATATTTCTGTTTGGTATTGTAGGTGAAAGTGAGGAAGGGACAGGTTTGTTTGTTGTTGTTATTGGGAGATTACGCCTCATTTAATTTTTTTTTTATTGACACATTCCTGTGAAATAATGATTATATCTCTAAAATTTTAAAGAAAAACAACAAAATAAGTTGATAATTTTTTAGATCATATGTATGTACATTTAATATTCTCATATTAAAAAATAAAGATGTAATTAAGGAGGATGGGCTAAAACAATAAAAATAGGTGCTATCAATTTTTATCGCCAGAAGGTCCGAAAATTAGAGTCAAGGACTTGTGCGCTGACGGCGCAGAAAAATATAAAGTGACTTAAAATGCTTTAAAAAAGGATGAGAATAGAAAGGAATGATTGGAGAAGAATTAGGTCGTTGATTTTTCGCAAAATTAAATTATGTAATTGGAAGAAAGATAAAATGTTTTTTGGAGGAATTTAATTAAACAAAAAATTTTGAAATCATTTGATGGAAATGTCTGAAATTTGGAATAAAATTTAAAGAAAAAGGGCCTGGATTTATATTTAAAAAAATTACTGAGGATATTGAAAATATATGAAAGTATTAAAAATTGGAAATGTAAGACAGAATCGAATCCCGAAGGTAATACTGAGCAAATAATATATTTTATATCCAGGTTCAATGTCCAATATTATTTTCAATATTTCTATGTGACAAGCAATTTTATACCTCCCACTTTACAACTAATTAATTCCTTTGTTTTCACTTGAAAGGTGTTTTTTTATGTTAGCTTTCCCTTTGATTCTATTATTATGCTTTAGCTAACTTACATATATATTATTGTTTGTATTTTCCTAGTTTGTAAATAAAGCGTTTCATTACTTCGGTGTGTTTCGGTGTTTGGAAGAACCAAAGGACTTAAACCCCGAGATTGATCAAGATCAAGTTGATCAATATCCCTTAATATCTGGGTATGGTTCAGCCGCTTCGGCGCAGAGTATGAGTAATTGGAGATATAGAATAGAGCCGGAACACCTCACTAAGGATCCCACTTTACTGCAATAATTTATGGAAAAATTTAATTATTTGCTGAACATCAGAGAAAAATATTATTCTTACTAAATTATTTAAAATAAATTAAAATTAAATTACTAAACAATGACTAATACATAATTGTTTTTAATGTACTTGTTGAACCTGAATGTATAAATTAATTAATTATAAAAATAGAGAAAGAGTTGATTATATCAACTTTTATTTAAAATAAATCAAGAGTTAATTCATTATTTTATTTAACTATTTGGCCAATTTCTATTTATTGAATTTCCTTATTTTATTTCTCAATCAAATTATTTACTCAACATTTTATATTAAAATACTCTTTATTTTTTGAAAATACCTAAATATTTGATAATAAAAAAGTTGGAAATGGCATCGAAAATAAGAAAAATAGTAATTATATGTTCCTGTATTTTCACTGTTCTTGGCATGTTCCATTCCATCCTTGCATTAATATGGCCGTCTTGGCAGGTATTTTTTTAAAAAAATATTTTGGTTAAACAATAAAAGACTGATTTTAATTTTTATAAGAAAATATTAGATACCCAAAATTAAATTTTAAATTAATATACTAGATAGTCAACTTGGAAGAGAATAATACTACTCATTATCATGGACTTTTTGAGGACTGTATAGATGGAGTTAGCAATGAGTTTATTGATAAATTAAATGATTCCAACAAAGATATAACTTCAATTGTAAAATTTTGATAAATAAAATATTTTAGAATTTTTAACCAAAAATAAAAAAATAAAGAAATAATTTATCCTTTAAAAAAATAATTATTTATTTTTTTAATTTCCAGGATAACCAATATTATTGTATCTTAAAATCTTACTATTCAAAGTATATAATCTTTATACATTTTTAATTAAATTAAACTATTTTTAAAGAAATAATGATACATTTTATCGAGATGAGAATGATTTTTTTGATGAATATAAGAGACACAAATATTATGGATGGCATATTTTTACAATTTTAATATTGGTTGTTTTAATATTAAAATTAATTGAAATTATTTTCGTTTAGTTATTAACCTTTATTACTTCTTTTATTTCTCTTTGTTTTGGTGCTTATACATGCTGCTGTCCAACAATTTTATTAATTAATAAAGCCATGACATTACTAACTTGTAAATATATAAATAAATTTATTTTATTTTTTAACTTAATTTGGGATTTTTTTTGTTATGATTGAAAAATGTGTTAGTGAATAGGGTAACACGGAAAAACTTTAATAAAATACAAAAACCTAATTTTTGGTAACATCCGATTTCAGAAAAGAAATGATCAGGCTAATCAATTTGGCTATAAAATACGATTTAAATTTATCTGAATATAATTAATTTTTATTTTTATTTTTCAGGGTTATTGTCAATGATTGTCTTAATAGTCTTTTACTATTATTCTCAACAATCTGAGAATCGTTTTATTAAGGGCAAAGTTGACACTTATGAGGTTTGACTTTTACTTTTACATAATTCTTTCCAAAACAATTATTCTAAATTTTTTTTTATTTCAGCAACATTTGGGAATTGGATATTTTCTACAAATGGCTGCAACATTATATCATTTTATCGCCTTTGTACTAGCTCTGTTTACTACAAAAAAGTTTTACTAATTTTTAAAATGTTAATGAAATTCAGACATCGACATAATCTATTAATGAGCATAAATTTTCAATTTCCAAAATTATTTAAAAAAAATTAAAAGTAAACCCTCCCAACAAATTTCTTCCCTACAATTTTGTAATAAATTTAAAATAAAATAAGTACATATCAAAATTTAATAAAATATATCTCACAAAAAATATTTTTATATGAACTCACAAACAAATCAAAAACATAATCGAGATTATTTTTTCTTCACTGGGTATACAAATATATTCTTTTAAATTACCTTCATTCTTTTAAGTACGAATTAAATTTTAAAATAAAAACAAGTTTTTTTTCTTTGTCTTTTATCAAAAAAAAATTTTAAATAATTTAATTAATTCGTACTAATCTAAAAATAATAAAGAAAAAAGGAAATATTTTTTTAATTTTAATCTCTTTTTGATGAGGAATAGAAAAATGGAGATATTTGCATTATTCTTCCATTTGAGGAGGAAACACCTCCACCATCAATAGAACTTTCTTCAGGCATAAATTGACGACTTCGGGAGAAAATAGCTCTTCTTGCGCTTAAAAAATAAATTTTTTAAAATTTTTTATTTAAAAAATACCTGGGTAAATTTTCTCCATTTCCACTTCCAATATTTACTGCATCAGAATACAAAAAAGGAGTTATTTGGATTGGACGACGATTAGGTGATGCTAAACAATAATTATTTTTTGATGATCCAAAAATAACCAAAATAATAATTAATGTAAAAAATAAATGTAGAAAAGATGGAGAGAATTTAGAGGAAGAAATTGAATTTATTTTAAATTTTGGTGAAGATAACATTGATGCAAATTTATAATAAATTTGTCTTTTAATCTTAATAATTATTAAAAAATTAGAATTAAATTATAAACAAATAATTTTGATTTTTTATTAGGACCTACATAATATTCAAATTTTTAATAGATATTAATTATTTAAGTAATTAAATATTATTAATGGATAATTATTTTAGAACGTATTTTCAAACAAAACTTGAGGTAATTTCGAAGGTAAATATCAAAATGGGATAAATAAAGTATTTAGTAGAAGCTAATAGGAGATGACTGTTTTGGTATATCCTTAGATGAGACACGTATTTTTCGAAATAAAATATAGGTAACCTATCCTATCTATCTAAAATTAATTTTAGGAAATAAATTAATTAATTAATTAATTAATTTGCATAAATATAAAATATATTAATTAATTTATTCTCCAAAAATTTTTTTGAATATAATAAATGTAAAAAACGAGTAAAGAAAAGAATTAGAATCATTGTAAAAATGTTAATGAGGCGCTTAAAAAAGTATTAAAAATATTCAATTAAATATTCTTTTTTAAATCTATAAAATAAATGTTAAATAATTAAATATTAAAAATAAATGTATTTAAATTAAGTGAAGGAGGATATTTAAATAAATAAAAAAAAGTTTTTTTTTAAAAAGTAGAAATTCTAAGGATTAAAGGTTCAAAGTCGAGACTGTTAATCCTTAAAAAGGATTTCTTTTAAAAGTATCAAGAAAAAAAGAAACAATTAAAATGACGTTTTTAAATAAAATAAAAGTTTTTTTAAATAATTAATAAATATAAAATATTTTTATAAATTAAAATTAAAAATTCACAGATAGATATTTTAATGAATTTCACAAATAGGCCTTTCAGAAAAATAGGCCTTTCAGCATTCAGTTTTCTTAATCTTATTGTTAGACAAACAATTATGGCACGCTTCGGGATTTTTAAATTTTTTATAAAATTCTGGAGGAGTCGTAATAAAAATTAATTTAAAAATTTAGAGGAAATTTTTCTAAAAAGGTGAGGAAATTTTCTGAGGAAAATTTTTTCCTTTGCTAAATCAATTTACAAATTTAATTGGAAAATTTGTCCAGGAAATATTAAAAATAAATTATTTAAATAATTTCTAGTAGAAAATAAACAATTCAAAAAATATTTTTACTATTATTATTAAAATATTTGGAAAATATTTGAAAAGGGATTTATGTTTATATTTGGAGTAATTGTTAAAATATAGTTTAAAAATTCTTTTAAAAAGGAAACCCTTTTTTTAAAAAATAATGCAAAATAAATAAAGAATAGATTTTGGTGTTTAATGTTGAAATGAAAGAAAAAAATACTGAACATGGCTTAAAATTATTTTTGCAGAAAATGTATATTAAATGATTTCAAAGAAAATTAAAACTAAAAAATATATGCATTTATGACATTATTAACAGATTTCTGATTTGTATTTATTAAATAATTTTAAAAATTAATTAATTTCTTTTTAATTCAAAGTTTCTAAATTTAAATCCCCAAATTTTCCCCAAAAAATTCCCGCCAAATTCCCTGACATTACCACTTTTATTATTATTTTTACATTTTAATTATTTGTTTATACATATTTAAAAAACAATTTTGGTGAATAAAAAAGAATACTAACCAATTATTTTTTGTATTTTAAAGAAAAATAATTATTTGTTTTTTACTAAAAATAATTTTTAAATAACTTTTTTAAATATTTATAAAAAAATAATTTTTAGTAAATGCTTATCAATAAATTGTAGAAAATTTTGCAATAAAAGAGTACTGCTTTAATATAAAAAATAATAAAAATTCACAAAAATTCCAAAATAAATTCCCAAAAATAATTCTAATAAAGTAATAAGTAAGTGCTTATCAAGTAATTAAAAAGTGTAAATAAATGGATCATTTTAAAGAAAATAAAAAATGTGGAGTGAGTTTTGAGTTTTGATAAAATTTAAATAGTAGATTATTTATTTATTTTAGAATTAATTTTTTGTTTTATTTTTAGATTTACCTAATTAAATACAACTACTCAAAACTAGAGTACGTCGAGTACCGAGTAATTGGGAAACTCCGAGTTCGAGTAATGCCGAGTACTATTAGGATCCCGAGTTCCGAGCTCAAGTAAAGACAGAGAAACCGAGCAATCGAGTCGAATAACTCGTACATGATCGAATCGGACGTACTCTACTCAAAAATTAATCCATTTATCTTTTATATTTTTTCTATTTAAAAAAATAATTCTCATAATTTTATAATCTTAAAATTTTTTTAACTATACCTCTCTCTCTATTTCATTATAAAAAAGGAAAATGTTAATAAATTTATGGCAAAGCTTGTAATTATTTTCTAAAAAAAATAAAAATGACAGAAAATGACTTTAGAGGATTTCCCAAGTTTGACAATAAAAAATTGGACTTGGATATGTAAATGTCATTCATCTCAATCAAAAAAATCTAAGAAAAAAAGTTTTCCTTTAAATTAATGACGGGGTTATTTTAAATAATTTATGTATTAAATAATACAAAAAAAAAGTTTTTTTTAATTATTTGAATACAAATAATAAATAAATACATTTATTATTATTTTTTGTGGGTGGTTTTTGAAGCTATAAATATTTTTTAAATAAATAATTATTTTAATAATTTTGAAATTTGCTGTGAAAAGCTATTAATTTTTTATTTGTTTCTTTGAGCTTTGCTATCATTTATGTTTAATTTCTGGAATTGGGTAGTTTTTAAATTTAAAATTGGGAACTTTGTTTAATTTTGGATTTTTTAAATTAATAATTAAGTTTATGTACTTAGATTTTTTTAAAAATCTATCGAAGATACTTTACGGAATGAAAGATTTCCCAAATAAATTTTTGGAGAATTTTTTGAGAATATTTACAGAGGTATAATACATCAAACTTAGTTTCGTTGACTTGGCTAAAGTTGGTGAAGTCAGCTTTAATGCAGTCCCTGTTTAGTACATTGGGCAATTAGGCCTAGTTTTACGTGTACCCAAAGTAGCAAGGAAAGACTTAACAACCCCCTCCATATTTACATAAGTGCATAAATAAATAACCTTTATGGTTGATTTATTTCGCTAAAAAATATTATCTAAAAAAACTCAAAAGAACAATTTATATATTTTCTAGAAAAGTCTACAAAAGTTTAAACAAAAAAAAATATAAAATATTAAACAAACATCATTATTTACCCTAAAGCAAAAATATTTTTTCTAAAAAATCTCATGATTTTTTATATAAAATAATAATAATAGAGCAATTTTAAAGGTTTGTGAACTTTCTTGGCCAAAATAAAAAAAATAAATGTAAAGAAATAAATAAAATATTTTTTTCTTGGCATAAATAATGAATGAGTGTTTTTTTTTTTGCTTTTCAACTGCATCCAGATAGAAAATTGCTCTTATATTTTTTTATTAAAAATATATTTTAATTGCTTGTTTTTCTTACTATTTTTAGGATTTGGATTTAAGTACAGAATTAAAAATATTTTTTAAATATATTTATGTAAATGTGTTTTGTTGGGTTTTATTTTAAAAATACCACAAAATTTTTTGACGAAAATAAAAATTTTTCAAATATAAAGGAAAATTAAAAAAAAATTATTTATGAAGTACTAAAATAATTAAAATTGAAAAAAACTCGAGAAATTCACATAAGCTACGTATAACCTGAATATTAAAGACGTAGAACTATGAGAAATTAAAAGAAAAACTTTTTTTGTATCTTTATGATTTTATTCATCATAGAACAATTTTAGTTCATTATAAAATGAGAAATGTTATGAAAATATTTATTAAAGAATTTATATTTTAATTAACTAAAGAATTTAAATATTTGAATATAATCATTTGATTTGACTAGAAGAATGTTAAAAATGATTAAAAAAACAATAAAAATAAATACAAAAATAGTAATCACTTTTTTTAAATAAAAATATTTATTTATTTTTTTTTATTACTTTAATTCAAAAGAAGGCTGTCTGGGTATTTTTCTTTTATTGTTAAATACAAGACTAGAAGAATTTCTAAAATTTATCTAAAAAAAGAAATTAATTAAATATATATTTTGATAAAAAATTAATGGACAAACAATTTCTTTTTCAATAGGAACTCGAGAAAGAAAATCTAGCAATTCATTTGTATCAACATAATTTGGATTTAAAAGTTTTTTTGAGAATTTATTTATTCCTAAATAAAAATATTTTTTATTTACCGTAAATATTCTAATATAAGCCCACCTCTATTAAAAGCTCACCTTTAATATAAGCCCGCCCAAGCGAAATTTCGAAAGAATTTAAGTATCTCAAACTGTCAGCGAGTCCTACTCAATTTTGTCATGTGTTTGCATGGATAATAATTTGGAATGATATCGGGCGGGGCTAGAGGGAAATTAGTGGAAGATATCAGGGGATTTTTATGGATACCGGGATATCTAAGCTCAAGATATGGGGTAAATAAATATGAGGAAAATATGAGGGAGGGGCTTATATTAGAATAATATTTACAGTAATTTATTTAAACTTACCCCAAATAATAATTATCAATCTTATAGGAATATAATACAATAAAATAGTTATTGAAAAAAGTGAAAATATTGCAAGGAAGGAAAGAAAGGGAACAGTAAAATTGAAAATTCTGAAAAAAAAACAAAATCAGAACTTAATTTAATCAGAATTACCCTTTAATTCTGTCAATTAATCCAACCAAAAAATCCCCCTGTTGTTGAAGTAAAGTTAAAGTTTCTTGTATTGCTTGGAGACGTTCACGGAGAGATTTACTAATAATAATTTGTTGTTGTTCATCTATTCCATCTTTCTTTTTAATTTCATTTTGAATCTTTTATTTAAATTTAAATTATTCAAAACCCCCCAGTAAATACCTTAATGTTATCGTCATCCAATTTGTCATTTTCTGAAGATATTTGTTGTGATTCGAGTAACATTGAATTTAATGAATTATCAATCGAACTTTAAAATTAAATTTTTTAAAATAAAATATAAATATTTTTTCATACATTTTTTGTTTACTATTTATTGTTGCTATACTAGTCCAATTTCCAATTAGTAAAGGGAAAAGTTTTCTTTTTCTTTCCAAATTTAATAATAAATTAATTAAATATTTGATTATAAAATTGTAAATTAAAATAATTAATAAAATAAAAGGAAAGTGCCAAAGTTGGATTAAACTAACAAATATTATATAAAACTAAAATAAAATATAGAGATTTTAATTAAATTAGTGAAGAATTGAAGATTTTTATTTTTCGGATTTTTAAATTTATTTTCTGAATATTTTAATAAACTAATTGTTCAAAAATTTTTATTTTAAAAATAAAAATAATTTTTAATTTTTCTATCATAAACTCTTAAAAAGCAGACTTTTTAAATATTTTTCAAATTAAATTTTGATTTAAAAATTAATATTTTACCATTAAAGAACAGATTGAAATTGGATAAGATTTCCAACTTAAACAATAATTAATAAATTTAGTCCAATCCAACTTTAAAAAATTATAAATTACATAAATTTAAAGAATATAATAATATACAATTAAATCAGCAACAGACCGTAGACGATTTGCATTTGATAAAAATTTTTGTCTTTTAAATCGTTCCAATGGTTGTTTTAATTTAATTTCCTTTGGTTGAAATGTTTTTAGAGCTGCTTTAAACTTAAATTAAAAATATTTTGATATTTATTTGTATGGTTGTGGGATGAACAGAAGGAGGGGCGGGGGATTTTTTGTATTTAATTATCAACAGAAATTTCAAAATCCACCTTTGATAGTCATCGAAATATTTATGAAATATGTATTTAAACAAATTTTTTATTTAATATTTTATATAAAATATTTTAGAAATTTATTTTTTAATTAAAAACAAACATAATTAAAATATAAAGTGCCTTCAACTAAAATTCGTCCTTTAGCAGGCCCATCCAATTTTTTATTTTTTAGCATATACCAACGTTTTTCTCTATTAAATATCTACAAAATAATTTTTTTAAATTTAAACTTTTCCTACATTAAGTAAAGGAATAGCAATTTTGCCAAGAAATTCAACTCTTTTATTTGGATCTTCATCATAAACAGTTAATTCAATTATTTGATGGACATCTTTTATTGGACTTTTTAAAAATAAATTTAATTTATTTTTTAATTAATATTTCCTTTACAATTTAAAAAAACAATTCCATTTTGGACAAAGTGTTTTATATTCTGTGTGTGTTTGTAAACGAAAATTACACAATTCTAAAACGCAAAAAGGATCACTTTTGCCGTTAACATCTAATGCTGCTAAGCCTTCTGCTTCGAAAACTTTAATTGAATTTAAATTTAAATTAAGATTTAATTAATTAACTTTTAAATATTAAAAATCCAACATCCTCAAATGAATGAAAAGACGACCAAAAATTCTAATTAAAATATTAAAAAAATTTTTTTTAAATTTTAAATGCAAACATATTTTTTATAAAGTTGACTTTCAATATTTCCACTAAATTCTTCAATAAAAGAACAATAATTATTATTTTTAATTATATTTTCATTTTCTGATGCTTTTAAATAAATTAATTTTTAATTAATTTAAATTAACAACAAAATACTTGTTTGTTCCTCGTCTTTCTGTATTTCTTGTTTTCCTTTACGTTCTGAAACAATTCCTCTTATTGAACGTTCAATAAACTTTAAATTAAAAATTTTATTTTATATATTGTTTAGTCAAAAATAAATATTTAAAAAATTTTTAATATAAAATTCTTTTTTACTAAACGTTTTAAGAGAAAATCCTTTACCAATTCCTTCTGTTCCTCATTTATTGGCGTTAAAGTCATAGAAACAATTAAATACCCTAAAGGCCGAATATTTATTTCTTGCATTTTTGGATCCTCCAATTTTAATTTTAATTGTGTTTTCCTTTAAAAATATTTTAAAATAATCTATATATTTAAATACTCAGATAATTTTAATGTATTTAATGAGACATTAGCCGTCCCCATAAAATCGTCACGCATAAAACGATCATAATCGAAAACCTTAAAATATATAAAATTATTTATTTATCTATTTAAATAAAATCCATCGATGTAACCCTGCCAAATACTAATTAATTCCCCTCTCCCCAAGTCTCACTATTAAAACACTGCTCTTATTTTTATTCTTAAAATCCCATCAAAATTAAATTACTAAATACCTTAAAAGTAATAATTTCTGTTGGGTCTTGAATAAGAAAAGAAAATTTTTCATTCCATTTTGGATTCTATTAAAAATTAAATTTTATTAATTTTATTAATTTTATTAAATTTATTTATTACCAATTCTCTAAATATTATTTCACTTTTGTAAATTGTCTTCCCTCCATATTGACATTTAATATAAGGATCACTACTACCTTATAAATATTTATTTAATTGTTAAGATTAAAAACTAACCACAAGTATCATGTACTTCCAAACCTAACCCTTCATGTAAATGTATTTGGAGACAAAATGTAACAAAAACATCATCCTTAACGAAAAATTTTTATTTATTGTTTGAAACTTTATTTTTTCTTATCTCGATCCCAAGGGAAGGTTTTTTAAAGGAAATAATTTTCAAAATAATTTTTAAAAAATTGAATAAATGGAAATAATGTGAATTGCTAGTTAAAGTTCATTGACTAATTTAGGTAATTATAAACCATACCCTAAAACTTTATTGTATAACAACAAAAAATGTGCAATCATAAATATTGCTACTCTTATAAACAAAAATGGATCTTAACATTAGTTTTATTTCAAGTCGAAGATCCTGGGAATATGTTTATATCTTCCATTAGACCTCAAAATTATTTAATTAAATTTTATTTGTTCGAACAGATTATATTTTAAACAAAGAAATATTAACCAATTTAGGAGAAATTAAGGTTAAATTATTAACATTAATTTCGGCATTTTCTTTATTTTTCTCTTCATTTTTAATTATTTTATTTTCTTCCGTTTTTTCATTTAAAATTTCCAATTCTCTATTTTTTGGAGTATTTTGATTTTTTGTAATTATTTTATTGAAAATTAATTTTTGTTGTTTATTTTCCTTTAATTAAATATATTTTTAATTAAGCTTAAAAACCTTTTTATTTTTTCTGACAGAAAATCTGTGAATTAATGGAAGAAATGGCATTTAAATAAAAAAATTTTTTTAATTTTAAAATAAAAGAATAAATTTAAAAATTGATTTTAAAATAAAAAAATATTTTTTTTTATTTTATCTGTTGGGGGTAGCTTTCTCATCAAAAAACGGCAGTTTATGCATTATTCATATTTTAACTAAAAAGGCTTCTTCTCTTTATTATAGTGCTTCTCAATATATAAATTTTATCAAATGAAAGGGAAAGGAAAAATTTATAATAATTTTTTGCAATGGAATTTAAAATATTTTTCAATAAAAAAATATTTATAAAATAGTAGTAAATATTTTTTTAATATTAAAATTCTTTTAAATTATATTGTTTAAAGGTTGGGAAATCCCCAGATATCCTGATTTGGCAGCACTAATTGAAAGAGATTTTTCGTGGATAAAGAAGAAAAATTGCTTGAGGATTTAAAATTTGTTTTATTAAATTTAAAATATGTATTTAATATAATTTATTTAAAAAATATTAACCGTATATAAATATTTTTTTACGTCATTTTACCCAATTACTTTTTTTAAAAACTTCCTTTTTTGAATTGATCTTTCTCGAATTAAATTAATTTGATCTCTCCTTTTAGAAAAAAACGGAAAACGGGGAAAACCAAAAATTAAAGGTTTGTTTTTGTCTTTTATTTTTTATATATTAAGCAGACAAAAATGTGGAAAATTGAAAGGAGAAAGTAGAAATTGGAATTTTTTATAAATGGTTTTGTGGTTGTAACATTAATTAATTAATAAAAGATTTTTTGTATTTTCACCTCCAAGGTCGTCCAAAATAAATAAAAAAAGCAAATCTATCAACAATTTTTTCTTTTTATAATTATTACAAGTTTTTGGTGGATCCAATCTCTGATTAAAAAATTATTTTTTTTGTTTTTGTCCAAAATATATTGCTGACATATTACTTAATATAAAATTATATATTTAAGAATATTTTTTAGAAAAATATTTATTTTAATTTTCTCTTTAAATATTCTTTATTTTGTTGAATTTTTTCAAATTGAAAGTTTTATATACGGACTCAGTTTCTAATATAAGGACATCAATGAAGGGGTGATAAATAACTACCTAATTTATTTATTTAAAATTAATTTAGAAAAATATTTCCAGCAACTATAGATACGTAAAAATCATTTAAAATTGTCATTTTATTTCCTTGTTTATAAAATTTCAAAAATTAATTATTTTTTCCTTCAACTATTTCCATTTTTTTCAAAATACACCTACTCGCAACTTACCTAATTTAATTTAAATAATGGACAGAAAAATAATAATTATTTTTTAAATGACTAAAAACTTAATAATAAAAAATAATTGTTTTATTTTTTACTTTAAAAATGTTAAAAGAGAAAATAAAAATTTTTAAATTATATATAGAAACGTCACTTTTAATTTAAAAAGTTTTTATTTTGTCTAGCCAATATTTTAGTATAGTATTTTAAATTGAAATTTTTTCCCTTAATTTTTAAAAATATTTAAGAAAATACTTTTGTTAACTTAATTGTAGTTAACAATCCCAAGTTAAAAATTAATTGACAGCCGAGAGTTTTTGCTAACAAGGGAACATTCCGAACTGTGACCAAAAATTTTTTTATAAAAATTATACCATCGTGTAGAGCATGGTCGATAGCCTAACCCTATATATTTCTTTTTTGGCCCTGACCCCCATTTCGAAAAGTTATAGGGCTTCAAAGTTTCCGACTTTTGGAGCGGTTGAGTCGCCCTCACTTTTCTTATTATTTGTCTTCCTAAAGGGAAAAGTGAGACTCCTTTCCGCGACTCAACCGCTCCAAAAGTCGGAAACTTTGAAGCCCTTTAACTTTTCGAAATGGGGGTCAGGGCCAAAAAAGAAATATATAGGGTTAGGCTATCGACCATGCTCTACACGATGGTATAATTTTTATAAAAAAATTTTTGGTCACAGTTCGGAATGTTCCCTTGTAAGCTTCAAGCCCTGCCAGAGTTGATATACCTATTTACTTGTAGTGTCTATGATTTATATAATTTAAATCAAAATCTTTATTATTATCCAATAATAATACTTAAATAACAAAAATAACCATATTCCTCATCAGAGGCAAATATGTATTGTAACATATGAAAAAATAAAAATCTAGTCTTGCTTGAACTCTGTGTAAGGGTTTTAAATTGTTATTCATCTGGAACTCCCAATAAATTATTCACAAAAATTCTAAATAAATATTAATTAATTATTTGATAATATCATAAATAAATAAATATTTAAATGTCATTCTTTTAATTATTTAAATTCCTTTACTGATCAAATCTTTCTTGACGCAAAAAAAAGTGAAAATAAATTTACACATTAAATTTATGGTTCCTTTTTTTAATTTCTTAAATATTTAAATGTTTTTTTAAATTTATTTTTTATTTTAGATTTTTATCTTTTTTTCTAAATTTAATTAAAATTTTAAATTTTAAACAAAAAAATGTTCTTAATAGTTAAAAACTTATTTATTCTTAACCCGCTCAATTTAATTCTTCGCCGAATTCTTTTATAAAACTTTCAAGGAAATTGTCACATTTTCTCAAAAATTTAATATTTTTTGACAAATTTTATATCAAAATAATTAAATAAATCTTGGCACTAATTTATTCTTAAATTATTTTTATATATTTTTTTTTAATTATTTGATATGTTTTTTACTTTATTTGGATCATTTTTAGGCTGTTCTGATTATCATAAAGTAAGCTCTAAAACTTCGTATCTTTTAGAATCTGTAAAATATATTTTCATAAAATGTCTTGAATAAATAAAGTTTTTTTAAATTTATTTTAAACTTTTTTATCACACAAAAAATACAAATAGTTTTTTCTGTATTTTAATATCAATGATGTAATAATTGTAAATTTGTTTAAAAAGAAATTTAAAATTTTTATTTTCTTTTAAACAGCAAAAATACTTAAAATGCGCAAATTTAACTTTCTTTTCTACAATTTTGTTTTAATTTACTCTTAAAAATATTTTCAATTTAATCACCAAAAATATCAGGCAAATTTAAATATTTTAATTAATCTAAGAAATAAAAAATTTTCTTTACTTCCCCCAAAATACATAAAACAAATATTCATATACCTAGGTTGCCAAGATTTAAATTTTTTTAAATTTTATTTCCTTTAAATATTAATTGTTTTTAAAACAAGTTGAATATCCACAATTGAACAATTATATAATCTAAAAGCGTTCTTAACACGCCTCAATGCCCATTAATGTGTTTTTTGGTGAAAGGAATAAACAACATATATTCGCGCAAAATAAATAAATATTAATTTATTTATTAAAAAATATCTGTAATTGTTTTTTTTTAATTTTAATGAATTAATTTAATGAAAATAAGCAATATTCATTTAATTAAAACTAATTTTGTTTTAAAGTTTTCAATAAAATAAAAAAAAACTTTTAATTTAAATTATTATCACTTAATTAGTTCAGTCTTGTACTGTAGTAAAATTTAAATTTTTGACAAAAAAATTTCAATATCTTCTACTAGTCCAAATACATACTCGTTTTTTCGCTTTTCACTCCTTTTTAAAAACTTAAAAAATATTTTGTTAATAAAAATAAATTTTAATAATTTTAAATAATTCATTTTATTGTAAAATTATTTTTATTTTAAAAATCAATTTGTGATCCAAATATTTATATAAATGTAATATGACATATATTTATATCTATAATAATAATTCACTTAAAAAACACTTAAAAACAATACAAAAATAAAAATACTCTTAAAGTAGTCACGCATTTTTTCATTCAAATAAAAATTCAAACAACAAAAATGTCCGAAAACATTAATCAATCTCTGCCACACAAAACCCTCTACGCAATGATTGAGTGGAAATGAACGTACTAAACGAACTTCAATGAAACGCCAACGGTTTTTTTTTGTTTTTTGCGCAGAGTTTACCTTTTACAGATTGTAGAGGTTTCTTTCTTTCTCTCTTATTTTCCTTCCTTTTTTGAAAAATTAAATAAAAAATATTTTTTATTTTTTAAATAAATAATAAAAATAAATATTTATTTTTTGATTAGGTAACTTTTTTTAATTTAATTATTAGTTAATTTGTTTGAAATTTCAACTACTTTTCTATGTCATCCCCCCTCTATGTCACATTTCAACTCCAAATGTTCAATTCACATAGGAGATGTTCGAATGTATTTATTTAAACAAGTTTTCAAAAAAATTCTTACATTATATTACAAATCCCTAAAAATTATGTAATAGATTTAAGACAAATATTAAATTACCTTATAACTAGGGTTGTAGGTTCTAGACCGAACCGAATCGAAAACCGAGGATTTTTCGGTTCGGTTCTTCGGTTCGGTTTCGGATATCCGAAGAATTTCCAGGAACCGTCAACCCTACTCATAACTTCTAATTATGACATTTTAATTTAATTATTTATTTTTTCTTTCCCAACCAAAAAACTCTTCTTTCTTTTAGATTTTTATTTTGGTTTATTTTTTGTTTTTGTTTTTTTTGTTATTTACAAAAATATTTTCATTGTTTTGTTAGCTTTTGACTGTTAAATATTCTCGCTCGTTCCACTAACCTGCGCAACTTGTCTGTTATCATTTTACTTACAAACCTGAATTTTTAAGGAATTATTAAAAAATAAAAATATTAGGTAATTTAAATTATTTTTATTTAAAATATTTCGCGTTAATCCAAAAAAATTTAGCCAAAATTGTTTTTTTTATTTTAAATTAATTTTTACTTTTAAATAAATTTATTTAAATATTTTCCATAAAATTGATAAATGCCAAATTAAACAAAAAATTGACACAAAAAATTTAAACTTTAAATTTATTACGTCAATAAACTGATTATTAACCTTTAAAATAACCTTAAAAAGTAAAAATACACTTCTTTATGCATTTTAAATTAATCCAAAAATGTTTATTTTCTTTTTAATTTTTTTGGAAAAGTTATTTTGGAAATAAAACGGAAATAAAAAGTTTAAGGAAAATTAAAAGTAAGCACTATATAAATAAATAAATGGCACAAAATTAGTTTATAATTACAAAAATATGTTCTTTGTTATTTATTCTGCTCAAATAAATCTTAAAAAGTTAATTAAGAGAATCACGGTGATTTTGGGTTCATTTGAAAGAGCTCGTCAGCTAATTTGAATTAGCTAATAGTTGCGTATTCGTATTTTTATTACAAAATGATCCCATGGTTCTTGACCATTTCGAGCCCTATATTTCGGTCCACATGGTCTGTTTTTACCCTATATATGACATTTTGGGCATTAATTTAGGGGGAGGCATAACGGAAAAGTACCCGTTTCTGATTTTCAGAAATAAAACTAAAAAAGGGAAAATATACATAGATTTAGTTGACAAACAGTAATTTACTAAAATATATTAATAAATTTTATTTAAACGGAAATTGCCGTTTTTGTTTTAATTTTTTATTTTTAATTCGCCAATAAAAGCAATCAATTTTAAATAAATTTTTGGCATTTTTTTTCTTTTCATCTCTAGAAAATTAATGAATGACCTTTACCGATTGATGACCTTTTTGTATAAAAAATTAAAAAATAGAGAAATTTTTCATTTATTTTTTCATTGAAAGCAGAAATTCTTTAAAAGAATTTAAATTAATAAATTTGTCCAGTTTTTCATTTATTTTAGATATTTTTTCTGATATTTTAAAAAATAATTTTATTTTTTTAAATTAAATATTTTAAAAAATTAAAAAAATATTTTATTAACAATTTTTCTTTAAAAAAATATTAAAATAAATATTTTCTAAAAAAATAATCGGAAACTTTATCTACGTCAGAGTAAAATAATTTTAGATAAATTTTAAGGTAAAAACTATGTACCTCTCTCCTTTTTTTTGGTGAATCAAAAATACTTTAAAAACTTTAAAAATAAAAATTTCAAACAAATTTTAATAATTTTCTTTTTAAATTGGTCTTCCTTTTCTTTAAATTCTTTTTACAAAAAAATTCTTTTGTCTGTTGCTTTTTTCCTAAAATTTTTAAATTTTACGTAAATATTACGTAAAAATGTTTCTAAAAATAATTTTTTAAAGAAAATTTTTAAAAAATTAAAATTTTATTGTTTTTTTTGTGAATTTAGAGACAGATTTTTAATTAAAAGAATTATATAGTACATTCATACTTTAATATTTTTTAAGAGTTTCGAGACATTTTGAATTAAAAATACATAATTATCAACGAAATACCTCGAAATTATATACTCACAAAAATTATTTAAATTCTAAATTTTATATTTTTTGAGTTCTCGCTGAATAAAATATTTTTTTATTTTATTTATCACTTGTGAGGAGATGCCCAAACATTGTCCTTATTTTTAATACGATTTTCTCAGACGGATATATAAATTCGAGATCCGGATAATTAATAGTAATTAATTTTTAAATTTTATAAAAATATCTCGCCAACTAAAGAAGTTATTTTAAAATATAATTGAAAATAAAAAAAATATTTATAATTATTTAAGGAGAAATAATGGAGAAAGATAAATTAATTATTAAAATACAAAAACAACAACAAAGGATACAAATTAATATTCAAATTTTGAGAATATTCCTTTATTTTTTATTTCTTTTATTTTTAATTCCAAATATTTTAGTAGAAGCATTCCTAAAAGTAGATGAAAGTGCAGTAACTACGGGGTAATTAAAATTAATTTAAAAAGAAAATATTTAAAATTTAAAGAAAATATAAAGTACTTAGAATTGTCCCAAAAACATTAGACGAGGTTATCGTCCTTCGATCTTTATACAAAATTGCACAAGAATATGAGGTATAATTTCAATATTTTTATTTTTAAAAACTTTCTTTTTTAACAGCTTGATTTTTGGAAAGGGCCAACAAATATTGGGTAGAAATATTTAAAAAAAATTATTTTTAAATTTATTTTTAGTGTTTTTGTTGATGTAATGGTTCCCCCAGGCATTGTACAGTCATTTAATAATTTTCTAGACGAACAAAATATTCAGCATAATATAATTATTGAGGATGTACAAAAGTAGAAAAATAATTTTAAAAAATTAAAAAAAAATATTTTCCAAAAAAGAATGATTTTACAAAGAGAAAAGGCTAACGGCTCAAATCAACAAAATTTTAGCTCATTCAGCCCTTCTTTGTTGAGTGAATTTTTGTTATTTAGTAAAAGAAAAATGAGAGATGATTCTACATATCAAAGTACAAATAAAGCAAAATATGGATTTGGTGATTTTTTGGAATTTTAAAATTATAGAAAGACGGGATAGAATTTTAATTTCCCTTCCTTCTCTTAAACAATACAAAAATATTTTTTGAAGTTTAAAAAATATATTTTAGAGAAACTTTCAATTATTTCCTATTTAATAGAAAAATATTTTAATTTAAAGGAGAATACCATTCTTATCGAGAAATACAACAATGGATGGAGGATATTGAAAGAAATTATCCACAAATTGCCCGAACATTTGCTATTGGTAATTAATTAATTAATAATTATTTTTAAATTTAATTTTTTAAAGGAACAACATATGAGGGTAGACCAATTGCTGGAATTAAAGTAAATTAATTATTTTTTAATTTAAAATAAATTAATTTAGTTGGGTAATCCAATTGATGATATTTCTAAAAGAGCCGTTTGGATTGATGGAGGTTAAGAAATAAATTAATTTATTTTTAATTTATTTTTTAGGAATGCATGCGAGAGAGGTACATAAATTAAATTAAAAAAAATATTTTTTAATTAAAAAATTAAATTATTCTATTTAATATTTAGTGGGCATCAATTCATACAGCTTTGTGGTTTATAGAAATGGTAGGGAAATTTAAAATTATATTTTTATTTTCTTAATTACATTTAAGTAAGATTCGATTCTTAATTTTATTTCTTACTCGAATTTTCCGATCAAATGGACTTGGTGAATTTCGTAAAATCAACAAAATTTTAGGACGTTAGAAAATAAAATTTCAGAGGCCCAAGTAGCCAAAATTTCCTTTCTTTAGCTAAACATAGTAATATTTAAATAATATTTACATGAGTAAAAACATTTTTTAATTTTAAGCAAAAATATTTATATACCAAATAAATAATATTACCTATACATTTTTTATTTTATTTTTAACTCAAATATATTTATTTTTTAGTTACTTACCCAATTTGGAACAGATCCAAAAATTACAGATTATATGAATACTTTAAACTTTTATTTCGTTCCAGTTGCAAATCCAGATGGATTTGAGTTAATTTTTAAATAAAAATAAATTAATATAAAATTATTTTTAAAGATATTCTCGTTCTGATGTTAATCCCCAAACAAGATTTTGGAGGAAAAATAGAGGGCCACAAACTTGTAAAAAAGATCGTTGGAGACGTGAACGTTGTTGTGGGGGTGTTGATTTAAACAGAAATTTTGATTTTCATTGGGGAGGTTTTTCTGGATTTTTTTTGAAAATTAGAAAAAATTTCAAAAATTTTTAGAGACTGGATCGAGTTCTGAACTTTGCTCTGATATTTTTCAAGGGTTAAAAGACAAATTTAAAAATTTGTTTTTAAATTTATTTTTTAGTGATTATGCATTTAGCGAGCCTGAAAGTCGTGCCATTCGAGATAAAATATTTTCTCCTGAACTTAATGGAAAACTTGATGCTTTTATTACTTTACATACTTACTCGCAAATGTGGTAAAAATATTTAAAGAATTTTTAAATTAAGAAAGAAAATATTTTAAAAAGGATTCATCCATTTAATCACGAAAGACGTAATTTCCCCAGCGATATTGAGGATTTACAAACAATTGGACGTCGTGGAGTTCGAGCAATTGAAGAAGTTTACGGAACAAAATATAGATTTGGAACGGGGGCAGATATTTTATATCCGTCAGCTGGAGGGTAAAAAATTGAAGAAAATTAAAATAAAAGTTGTGTTTAAGGCCCCGGTTTGGGACCCCGGTTGTTCTCAACCTTTATGGTCACCCTGTATATCCACTGATATTAATTCTCTTATCGAAACATTATTAATTTCAATTAATTTCAAATTTTATTTTTTTAAGTTCCGATGATTGGGCAAAAGCAAAGGCAAATATTAAATATGTTTATTTACTTGAATTGAGACCTGGAGAAGAAGAATGGGTAATTTAAAGAGTTTTTGAATGAAAAATAAATTATCTTTTAAAGGATGGTTTTCTTCTTGACCGTCGCCAATTAATTCCAACTGGACGAGAAACTTGGGAAGGTGTTAAAGTTGTAATTGATGCTGTAATGAAGAGAATAAAAGACAACAACAACAAACAACAACAAAGAAGTGGGAGAAAAAAGATGGCAGCTTTACTGCCTAATATTCCTTTAACTGCTTTTTTAAGAATTGTCAATTAAAAAAATTTTTTTTGAAAAAAATTTGGGAGGGATATTATTTAATTAAAAAAAATTTTGTTATTTATAAAAAGAGAATTTATTTTAAATGAAAAAAAGAGATATAAATAATGTGAATACCGAGGTGGAATTAGGGATTTTTTGGCACTTCCTTTTCATGATTCCAAAATTTTGGTTTCTTTAATTCCCGTCATAAATTTTTGATAAAATAAAATATCTAAATAAAGCCTCACAATTATTCCAAACCTTCAAATTCCCTTTCAGAAAAATTTAAGTTTCGAAATAAATACAGATTAGAAAATAATGTAAAGCTTTTATTTTTATGGCAAACTCGAAAGGCTCTCGTAAATTCCAGAATTTTTAATTAAAATTAAATGGCTGACTTTCTCTCATTTAATTTTCCCTTTTAATTTGACATGCGGATAAATTAAGAAATTAAGTAACCAATTATATTTGTTTTTAATAATACATATATCCTTCCCAAATAATTTTTTAAAAAATTATAACTTAAAAAATGACAAAATATTTTTTAAATTCTTTTAATTAATTCTAAATTTTTATTTTTAGTTTTGCCTATACCAACAATCCCTACAGCAGCCCCAACATTTTCTTCTTCTCCACCTCCACCTCCTCCAACAACAACAATTAGTTCAACAACACAACAACCACAAACTCCACCTATTGCACAAGTGCCTCCACGTGTTCTTCCACAATTGGCGCCACAATCTTCGATACTAGTAAATTTATATATTTATTTTTTTAATAATTTAAATTTTAAAAAATTTACTAAATATTCTTCGAAAATTCCTTTTTTGAAATTATATTTTTGAAAATAAAATTTAGTCTATACTCAAAAAACTTTTACTCTTTTTCTAATGAAGTAATCAAATAAGCTCTCATTATTTCGAATCAGTTAATGACAAAGTCTTCGTTTTTAGAGCAAAATTTAATATTTTTTAAATATATTCTTAATTTTATTTAAAAAGGACTCACGATCCTCCGCTCCACAATCCTCGTTAAGGCAATTTTTACAAATAAATAGAAGGGTTGACGGTTCTATTGGTGGTGGAACATCAATTGTTGAAAGACAAAATAATAATGGAGTTAATTCTAATGATTTGAGACAAGTAAATATTAAAAATAAAATAATTAAAGTAAACCCTCACAATTATCCCACCCCTAAATCTAAATAAAATATAAAGCCTTACAATTATTCCAAATCTCCAAATGCCCCTTTCAGAAAACACAAATTAGAAAATAATATAATCCTTAAAAGGCTCTTCATTTACGTCTTGCAAGGCTTAGACAAAACCAACTTCAAGCTCGTCGAGACTTTGACAGACGAAGTTTAGCACAATTACAAACACCTGATCAACAAAGAGCATTTTGGACGAGTGGAGGTAATTGAAAAATAATATTTAGAGAACAAAAATAAAAAACAAAAAAAGGCAACAATAAAACAAAAGTTAATCATTTTCCTTTATTTTTATAAAAAAATTATTTAATGGTCTAAGATACGCGTTAATGTGTGACGAATGAAGAAGAATCTCTCCTTTCTTCTTTTTAGGAAATAAAATAGAGTTCGGCCAATTTTTGGTATTTTTATTTGGTCCTACTTGTATGACCGTTTATTTTTATTATTATAAATGGAAATTCTTTAAATGGAAAAAGAAAAAATTATGATAAGAATGTTAATTTAAAAAAATTATATAAAAAATTTTCAGGGCAAAATGGGTGTGCTGACAGAACAAAATGGTGAGGAGATATTTAATAAATTTAAATATTTTACAATTTCTATTTTTAAATTCTAAAAATAAAAAATAGAATGGGATTTATAATTATTGAGAATGATAAATTTAAATTTAAAAAAATAATTACAAATGCCCCTCAACCAATTATTTTTTTATCTCCATTAAAACTATAAAGACATCCTTCGTTTTTATAAAAAAATTATATTAGTTCGGAGCTAATTTGAATTTGAAATTTATAAAAAAAGAGAGTCTAATGAGTTAATTTATCAATTAATTTTCTTTCCAGGTGCTCCGGTTGGATTCGCGTTTCACCAAATGTTTGCAAACGTTCATCAATTTATATGCGCCGTGATTGTGCTCTTTCCTGTGGATTTTGTAGTAGCAATTCCCGATAATAATTAAACATTAAAAATGAAAGAAGTCAAAAAAATACAGGATTCTCTAAAAGAAAGCAGTGCCAAAACAAAAGAGACAATGATCTCAAAAAGGTACAGAAAATTGTACCTAACAAAATGGGTATTTAATATAAAATATTTCAAGTTTCGAAAGATGAAAATTGTTTAATTTTTAAACGAAATTTATTGTCAATTATTTTAAAAATCCTTCGAAACTTATTCAGTTCGCTGTCTCTAGTTTGTTTTTTAATTGAAAAGAGATAAAGCAATGTTTAAATATTAATATCTTTTACACAATGTTTAATTTTGAAATTGAAAATTATTGACAGCAATTCAATAGATTAAAAAACTTAATAAAACCCTAGTCCTAATGGAAGACGTTAGGGTTTAGTTATTGTAGTCACAACAATTTCTAAGCCTGTTCAGCATGGGATTTTGCTAAACGGCGTGGATTTTCATACTAGTGATCGGTCAGAATCTGTATCAGGACCTTGATTTAATGGATCCTAATCAAGGTAAAAACGTTTTTCAGAGTTTTTTTTATTTTTCTCGGCAAAATTGCCTCTACTAATATTCTAATCCTTACCATATTAAAACATATACTAACTTACTATTTAATTTTATATGTATCAAATATTTTCATTATAATTAACTTGATTATTTTGATTTTCTAAATCTTGTCTTCTTCTTTCTTCCTTTTCTTTGTTTTCTTTTTTACTTCTCCAAGGTTTTATTTCTTTAAATGCTGCATCAAATTCATTTAAATTTAATCCTTTATTTTCTATCCTTTCTAATGCATCAACAGGTCTTCTATAGACTGGAGGGAATGGAAATGGATGTTTAGCTAATTCAGTCATTTCAACAGGTTCACGATGGTCGTAAAGAAAAAGACCAGGCATTCTAATTTTAAAAATTAAATTATTTAGGAACAAAATGAACAAATTACTCTCTGCATTGTTTTTCATAGAAAAGGCACATTTCTGCAAAATTTTGCATATCTAACATAGGAACAACCATTGTTGGGTCCAAACGGCAATGCCTGAAATGAAAATATTTTTTGATAAAGAATTCTTTTTATATTTTACCTAAGTAAATCGTCTGCCATATCATCAAGCATAGGTTCTGGATAGAGTAGTCTAACAACTTTTTTGAGGTATTTTCTCCTCAAATGGAAAAGAACGCGAAAAACCTTATTGGAGACCTAAAAATTTGAAAAAAAAAATAAATATTTTAAAATCACTACCTCAAATGCAACAGGGATTTGTGGCTCTAACCTTCATTTTTAAATTATTTAATGTTTCTAAAAAATGAAAAACCTTGGCGTCAATCGCACAAACGCAACACTGACTTCTGGTTGAGGCGTGAAACATTTTCCTATTAGAATATTTTTTATAAAATTATAAAAAAATATATAGAAATACCAGGTATATCAAACATAATTTTTGGTACAGCCCAGTTTTGGCAAGTTAGGCCAATACGAGAACGGAAATCACTTCCCTTAAGTTAAAAAAATATTTTTTAAATTTAGAATTAAAGCTAACTAATGGCGCAACCATTCTTTTTGCAACTTCTAGTTGAAAGGAAAACATCATTGGAACACGTCCAAAAGCGAAAGGCCCAGTTCTGTCACTTATTGCCCTCATTAACCTTAAAATATTTTTTAATAAAATTAATTAAAATAAAAATAAATACTTTATTATAAGTGGAGTAGAAATATGAAATGGCAAATTTCCAATTAGACTAAATGGCGGATTCTAAAAATAAAATATTTTTTGAGTTTGAATGTTTCTGTCATCTATTAGGAATATTTATTGTTTAGACCTGATCCATCCAATCACATTTATTAGCACCCGCTTCTTCCCAAATTCCTCCAACATCTGTTTGCATTATATCACCCCGATGAATAAACATTCTATCCTGTGCATGGTGCTTAAGATGCTTCAAATTTTAGAAATTATTGAAAAAATAGGTTGGCAAAAACATACCTCTAATGCTGGAATAAATTGTCTATCCAATTCAACAACATCCAAGCGAAGACAGGGCTTTTCAAGAATTGCTAAATATGAAAACTAAAAGCTAAATATGAAAGCTTTATAAAAACAAAACCTCTCGTAATCCCACCAGGTCCAGGGCCAACTTCGATCACATGGCAATTTTTCAAATCACCAGCGCAACGGACCATCTACAAAGTTTTTAATTTAACATAAAAATTAAAATATACTTTTCTGCAAAGGTTCATATCCATTAAATAGTTTTGACTCAATGCTTTGTCTGCATTTAAACGATATATTTTAATAAAATCTCGGAGAGCAGGCAATGGAGGCAAGTATGTTGAAGTCTCTCCAAATACTTTCAATGCAGAGGAAGCCATGCCTTAAACAATTTAATACTCAGAAATTCTTAAAAGAAATAACCTCATAAAATATAAAAATAATTTTAAAAAATATTTTCTCAGATTTATAAAGAAAAAATTCAAAATATTTTTATTCAACCAATAAAAACAGAGAATATATTCATTATTAAATATCTGACCAGCTTTAGGGAATTTAGTCTAAATTGCACAAGACAATAAATTTAAAAGAAACTAGCGAATTATTGCACAAAAAGCAAGATAGATATAGTAAAAGAAAAATAATGATTGGAAAACTATACAAATAATTTAAAAAAAAAAATTTAAAAAGTTTCTTTCAAAAACCTTTCAAAATATTAAAATTTTCCAATCAATCGATGAGTAATTAACTAGCTTATCAAGCCTGAACAAAAAAATTAGTCAAGACTTACAAAGCCTATAAAAATTAAATTATGCCATAAATAAGCTCTTCAATATTTTTTACTCAAATATTTTTTAATTCTTTACATCTTTTCCTTCTCCATTACTCATTTCCTTTTCGCTTCGTTTTTGTATAAAAACATCCAATTCTGAACGAATTGCGTTAAGGAAATCAGAATAAGCTTTGTCAAGTTGCTCATTAATGACAACGACATCAAAAAGAGTAGACTCGTTTTCAACTAAAAAAATTTAAATTTAATTAATTAAAAAAAATAATAAGAATTAACCTGCCAAAAGATCCTCTTTCGCATGTTTAAGACGTTTCTCAAGCGAATCATCTGTTTCTGTGCCACGTTGACGCAAGCGATTTTCCTGTTTAAATAAAATTTAAAAAGTCCTTTTAATTCAAAAACTAACCAAAACTTCCATTGATGGGGGACGTACAAAAATATATTTTGCCTCAAATTGTGCCTTCTTAAAATTTCGAACTCCTTGAAGTTCAACATCTAATACACAAATTTTTCCACTATTACAAATATCCTGAACTGCTTTTTTGCTAAAATTCTTGAATTATTTTCAAGAAAAATTAAAAATATAAAAACCTTGTCCCGTAAAAGTTCCCGCCAAATTGGGCATGTTCAAGAAATTCTCCGTCTTTAATCATTCGTTCAAATTCAGACTTTTCTATAAAATAATAATGTTGTCCATCCAATTCTCCATCTCGTGGTTTACGAGTTGTGTCTAAATTTAAAAAATTTGAGAAAAAATTAGAAAAAAAGGTAAAAAATGTTTAAAATTTCAAATTCTCCACTAAAAATTCCCAAAATTTTTAAAATATAAATTATTACGTGAAACACTAAAAGCAAAAGCATCTGGATATTCTTTCATTGCTTTAGCCAAAATAGTAGACTTTCCACCACCTGAGGGACCAGAAATAATAATTGGTTTTATCATCATCATAAAATCGCTGCAATTGCTGTTGTTTCTGCTGCTAATAGTAACAACTTCTTGAACACTAGTAGAGGCAGTTGCCGGTTGATGTTTTAAATTCTGACGTGTGGAGGTTGTGTAGACGTGGGAGAGAAGCCAGGAATTGAGACGATTCACACGAAATCGGCGAATCACTAAAATTTAAAAGAAATTTAAATACGACAGGAAAGACATTTTAAATGAATTTAAGTGTCGTCCTTTTAACGAAAAATAAGATTTATCTATATTAATAGGAAAATAGTAGTAAATGCCCTACTTAAATCTACATATGGGGAGGTTTACATATACACGCAAATGTATTTTTTAAATCCTTTATAAAAGAGAGCTCAACAACACTCGATGACTTTTTATAAGAAGACCATAGGAACGAAAAAAAGTATAAAGGATTAACTAAAGAGATAAAATGTCCGACATCTTAAAATGAATGTGGCAGAATTATTAAATAAAAAATAAAAATGAATTTATTTTTAAAAACATTTTTACACATTCCCTCTAAGTAAAATTCCTTCGGAGAAATGTAAATATGAACTCTCTCTCTAATTTTACATTTAATAAAAGGTGAAAAAACGTGGAATATTGTGATACATAAAATTTAAATTCAAACTCACAAAAGAATGCATATCGCAGCATAGAATGAACAAAAGAAAAGATTGACAGTCACCCTTTTTTGATAGGCGTATGAAAATGAATAAAATTGTTGTCTTTTGGAATATTAATTAAGATTGCTGCAAATGTAAATTGTTTTTAAAGATTGTTTTTACAAAAGATTTTTTAGAGATTTGAAGTTGTAAAAACTTTCTCCGTCTGTGACTATCCTCGTTTTCACAATATTTTCATATATCAAAATGGTAAAGAATGTTTTGACGCGAACCTTTGTTTTCTTTACGAGAATACGGTTTTGGTTGTTTTTCAAGAAAATTGGTTTTCAAAGCATTCTTTAATATCTCCTTTCAAAGAAAATTCTTTTTGGATTGTCTTGTTGTGAATTTTCTGTGAATTACATTTTATCTTATTTAAAAAAGGATTATCTAAGATTTTATTTATGCGACAAACCTGCCGCAACAAAACAGATGTCGCTCTAAATTATTTGGATGTTTCATCGCCCATTTTCTCGTAGAAATTTTTCGCAGCTTTATTTTTTTTTTGTTTTAGGTTTTTCAAGGTTTTTTTTTCGTTTAACTTGCTTTTTGGCCGATTTAATTATCGTTCACATTTATTTATTTTTACTTAAATTCTAATGATTTTTTTTGTTTTTTTGTGACCAAATACTTAATAATTTACTTTTTAATTTTAGAATTTTACCACAAACAATTTAATAAATTAATTAAAATCATGGAGTGTCCTTCATGGATGTTTTCTAAAGCATTATCTCATCGTCAAAAGGTTATGCGTCTTTATAAGCGTTGTCTTCGTGAGATTCATGCTTGGTATTTTTCATATGATACACACGGATTGTTTGTTTTTTATTAAAATTTCTGATCTTTCTTTTTTCAAAACAGTCTGGAATTTCGTTTCCAAATGGTTTTAATGCGCGCACGTTTTGATGCCAATAAGGATGTAAAAGATATGCAAATGGCTCAATTTTTGTTGGCAGATGGTTGTCGTCAGGTTTGGGCAAATCGTCACCCAGACCCGTATCGATGTATTTTTTAAAGATTTTTAACAATTTTTATATAAATTTAAAGTTCCAAATGATGTTGGTGGGGCTAATTATGATCGTGAACATTGGACACCTGATGAAATTGCTGAAAGTAATTTTCATTATACTTGGCCTGAACGCGAACAATTTCCGTATTATTACAATAAAAGAGAGCAGCGCAAAAAGGAATTGATGGTTTTTATTTTGTTTTAATTTCTTTCAATGAGTATTTAATATTTTTGTAGGAGCATTGGCACAAAATTGAAGAGTCTTGGGATCAGGAGTTGGATTCAATTCAGAAGAAATTACCTGAAGAGGAAGAGGGGGGAAAGCAGCAGCCAAGTAAAATTTTTTAATTTTACTTTTAATTTTGGTCCCCATTTTATTTTTCCCATTTGGTGATAGTTGACAATTAGAGAAATTTTTTAGGAAGTTAGATAACGAGAGGGTTTTCAATTTAAATGTATATTTTGAGCGTTTTAACCCGAAAAAATAATTTTAAATTTATTAATTTCAGAGGCTCTTCCGACTATGTATTAGACAACAAAATTAGGAAATTATTACGAAAACATTTTGATTTAAATAATTTGTTGTAGTATTTGTATACAATAAATTGTTTGGTTTTGGATTTTAATGGTTATAAATTAATACGAATTTTTTAAATTTTTTTCGATTTTATTCCCAATGTACCAACAAAATTTTAACAATTTCTATTAATAAGACTTGATTGACTCTTTCAATTTTTCTCGAATTGTCCTTTTATTTGAACTAATTCCTTCAATTATTTTCCCTTTAAAAAAGTCTGAATCATTTCAAGTTTTCTCTTAAACTTGGATAACTGGTCTCCAATCACAATATAATAAAGAATAAAATAGGGTAAATAAACAAATATATTTATTTAATCTTTCATCAATTAAGTTTTTTGTCTTTTGTATTTTTTAGAAACACAAAAAAAACTTTTTTTGTCTTTTTATACTTGCGCATTCTCAGGTTCTTTTTAAAATTCTCCTGTCAATCCAACATTTATTTTCTCTTTTTTCTCTATAGGCTTATTTATTAGTCAATCAAGACTAAAGTTTAGTTTAATTTTTGATTTTATTTTAGCAGCAATTTTTACAAAATATTTTAAATTTTGTTAGTAAATTTTTAAAAATATTTTTTAGGGTAGGGGGGGGGGGGGGTTTCCTGAAATATTTTTTACAACTAGTCTCATTGTCCTTCCTTTATAAAATTTGTAATTTTAATTTAATACTTTGATTTTTCACTTTTTAATTTTTTAAAATAAAAAAATATTTTTATTTTAATCATTCCTCTTTTGGCTAGCAGGTGAGAAATTAATGTTTTGTCTAAAGGAAATACATAAAGTAGGTCGGTAGTGGAAATCGGTGGCTGTTATTGTGCAGTATAGAATCGATTTAGTTTTGAGGGAATTGCCGTTATTATTTATTAATGTTGGGTAGTGCTTATGTTCCCCCTTACTAATTATTTTTACAAATTACCAAAATAATTTTATTAATTTTTTAAATATTTTAAAAATACTACTAAATATCCTCATAATCTAATATTAGAATTTTTAGGAAAATTTTTTGAGAGATACGGACGGACATTTAACCCTTCTCAAGAAATATTTTTTTCAATTTATTTGCTTTTTTTCTATGTCTCCTTTTCCTTCAATATCTTAATACTCAATTTAACACAATTTTTAAGCTTAATTTTGTTCTCCACAATTTTAGAATTATTTATTTGTAAATTATTATTATTCGTCGTCCGTTCATTAAATATTGAACCGCTTATAAATAAATAATTTAATCAATCTCTCAAATATTTTCTTATCATCAATACACCATTCACTAACACTTTATTTCTCTTTATAATTGTCAAAATTTGACTTAATACTTTGTATTTATTTTTCATTTTTCCTTCGTTAGAGAATCCGCTTTTGTTTCAAAATTCATTATCAAAATAACTTTTTGAATATTTTTTTAAATAAAAATGATATAATGTAGGGAAAAACAATAATTTTATCAAAATAAAATTTTTAATTACTTCTCTCTAAATTTACCTTTTTTTAAATTTAAATCTTTCCCATTTTTTATTATTTAAAATTTTTACAAAAATATATTAATTTTATTTTTGTTTTTAAAAAAGTAAAATCCTTTTATTGAGCAATTCCGCATAAATTCAAAATTTGGTCACAGGTTGCGCAATTTAATCTTTTTTTTTTCTAAATTTTCTCTCTTTCATTTATGCTCAATAAGATCCTTTTTGAACGTGGATTCCACTAAAATAATGATTTATTTATTTACAATGCATTTGCATGATCATAAATTTGTTGTTACACGTTTTAATTTTTAAGGATGTTTTTGACAAAATAAATTATTTTTAATGGGAAATCAATAAATTTAAATAATAAAATTTTTAAGCCCTATTTAATTGTTTTAATATCAAAAATAATTATTGGGAACGTTTCTAAATTGAATAGAGAAAAAACAAAATAAAAATAATTTAAACTAGGGTAGTACCCCGTCCCCCGAAAGCCCTACCCGAACCCCGAAGGATCTAACCTGACAAACCCCGATACCCGACGCCCACCCCCGTGCGGTCAAAACCCCGACCCGGCCTCCGAAACCCTGACTATTTTTATGCCAAAAAAAAGTCTTGGCCCGAAGGCTCTACTCCGGCAAATTCTCTACTCCGGTAGCAACCCGAGCCCCCGAAGGCTTGGGGTGCTACCCTAATTTAAACTAATAAAATAAAAATAATTTTTTAAAATTATTTTCAGAATTTTTCTATAAATATTTTTTATTTTTAAATTAATTATGAATATAATTCCTCTACAAGCTATTCTTGCCTTAGCGATGTTTTTGACAACTGCTTTAGCTGGTTTACTTCCGATTAAAGTTTAAAAAAAATTTAGAATTTAAAAAATTGAACTTTTTAGTTATTAAATATGATAAATAGAAGGAGAGATGAAGAAAATGAAAGGCAATTTATTTTTGAATAATTTAATATAGGCTTAAAAAAAGAAAATACTTAAAAATTAATTTTAGAGAAACCAGACTCGCAGAATGGATACTTTCTTTATTATCATGTTTTGCGGGGGTGTATTTATGGGAACTTGCTTTCTAGATATTTTTCCACATATAAAGTATGGAGACTGATTTTTTGTTTAAAGAATAGGACGGGATTTGAAGTAATTCTCCTCTAAAGATTATTTGTGCAAATAACGGAATAACGTGAATTTATAAGGGAATTCTGAAAATCTACCTTTACTGAATGAAGAATTATTCTAGGAAATTCTCTGGACAGCCTTTATTAATTATTAAAAAAATATTTTTTCAGTGAAAACTACGAACGTTTTATAATAAAATCTAAATGGAAAATAGAATATCCATTAACACAATTCTTCGTCTGTTGCGGGTTTTTTCTTGTTTATTTATTAGAAGAATTAATTTTAAAAATATTTTCTTCGTCAGCTTTGCATGCCGGGCATTCACATTCTGCTGGAAATAAGTAAATTTTAAAAAATTGTTAAAAATGTTTAAAAAATTATTATCTCTCTAAAGTTCACATCATCACAAACATAGAAGAGATAAAATAAAATGTAGAGAAGAACATTTAAAAACATCAAATATAGTAAATAATAATAATAATTGTAATAGTGATGGAAATGTTTTACAACAATCTACACATGTTGTTGTTGTTAGGTAATTAATTTAGACATAATTAATTAATTGAAATTCAAAGAAAATTAGCATTCGAAATTTTCGTTAAGAATTTCCTAATGAGTTAAATTAAATAGTTTTCTTGGAAATTCATTAAAAATAATAAATATAAATTCTGATAGCTCCATTTTAAGGGTATTTTCGAAAATATATACCCATTAGTGTTTCACCGGAACCGAAATTGTGACCGGAACCGGATCCAATTTGAGTTCCGGTTCCCGGAACCGGAACTTCCAGTGAAACTATAATACGCATTTAAATTAATTTTAATTTTATCCAATTCAAATTAAAAGGAGATCAGACGGCGAAGAGTCTGATTCAATTAATTCTTCCAAACAATTTAAACAACGTTCAATAAGTATATTAACACAAGAATATTTAAATAACGAACAAGTTGATGATAGTTTATTAAAGTCAATAACATTTGCTGTGGCAATGTCCTTTCATTCTATTTTGGAGGGATTTGCACTTGGAGTTCAAGTCTGTTTTTTAGGGAATTTAATATTATTATGAGGAAAATTTTAGAATAATCAAAAAGGCATAATGACACTCTTCATTTCTTTAATTATCCACAAAGGAATAGAAGCATTCAGTGTTGGTCTACAAATAACCAGATCAAACGCCAAAAGAATGGTTTCAATAAATATTTAAACTTTTTATTCAAACCCCAAAAATTGCCGTTAGATAATTGTTGTGTTGACTATTGGAATTTATGCTATGATGACACCTTTTGGATCTATGGTTGGAGTTTTACTTACGGTAAGTTTTTAATAAAATTTATAGAAAACCATAAGTAAGTTCAGACTTGTTAATGGACATGGATTTTGGTATCCGTATCCGGATATTTACGGCGGATACAGACGAATATCCGCAGGCATCTTGAACTTGTCTGTATCCGTATCCATTACTAAACCTGGGTAAATCTTTTAATTTTATTATTTTTTAGAATCTGAACATTGACGAGGTACTTAAAGGTAAATATTTTTGTTAATAAAAAATTTGGGATGGAAGAAGTAAATTTTGATTTAACCTTTTTTTACATAAGAACTACCATATGTATATGCTCGAATAATTGCCCTCTTAATTACCCCGTATTGCGAAAGGACAATAATTATCCAGGGTAATTATTCGGGCATATACGGTACTTAATTTACCTAAGCTCTACCAATTATGAAAAAGTTTAGATATTTTTATCTATTATAGATGGCATTGTAATTGTATTAGAATCATTTGCTGGCGGAACTTTTATTTATGTATTTTTCAAAAATATTTTCTCTGTTTAATTATTAAATTAGGTAACATTCTTCGAAGTACTTTCTCAAGAACGGGCCAATGAATTTTCTAATCTTGTACAGCTTTGTGCAATTGTTTTTGGTTTTCTTGTAGTTAGTGTTTTGCAAATAAATGAAAGTATTGCCGAAAAATAGTTTGGGAAATTTTAATTAAAAAATTATTTTTTGTGTTGTTTTTAGTGTAGAACGAGATTCTTCTACAAATGGAGTTTGAATGAAACTTTAATTGAATAAAAAAAGGAGAGGAATGAGAGGAAGTTGAAAAACGGAGATATTAAGTAATTACTATTGATAAAATATACAATGATTCTCATTTTCTTAAAATTTCATTCCTTTTCGTATTTTAAAAAATTTAAGGCGTTTAGGTAGGTATTTCTGACAAAATTAGTGATATAATCCTGACAAAAATATTTATGTAATCTCAACAGCTTTTGATATTCATTAAAGATAATAAAACTAATATTCAGGGAATGAAAGTTTTAATATTTTTTCAAATTTCAAATTTATTCAAATCTCCAAAGGATATACAATATACCGCTAAAATGGAGAGACAAAAAAATAAATAAATAAAAAATATGTGAGTAAAAAAAGGTTGTTTGAGTATGTTTTTGGGGTGCCATAGTGTGAATAAAAATAAAGGCAGTAAAATAAAATAAGGTTGTGTTAAACTTGCTTAAGTTTTGAAAACTTTAAAATTAACCTAAATTAAATTAGCTAAATTTAGAAAATCAAAAATAATTTGTGTTTAAAAAGAGCAAAAATGTGTTTAAAATTAAAAAATAATTTGTTTAAATTGTAGAGTTAAATAAAAACGTCGCTAAATATAAAATGAGGAAGGAAAATATAAGTCGAAAGGAAATTTAGGTCTTATATAGGAAAATTAATGTGAATAAAAACATTTTTTTTTACTTGAACGGATTAGAGTGAGAAAAAGCCCATGGTCCTTTTTTTATTTGTGGGATGCAATACAAATATTTTTGAATTTAAATTGATATTTGTAATTTCTCTAATATGTGTGGTAAACATAATCTTAAATGGATTTTAAATGTATTTATTGTATGGTTAAGAAAGATCTCTTTAGGGAGGAGATTCCAGATTTGTATAGTTCTGTTAAGGAATAAGTTGGCGGTTTTAGCATTTTTCCTTGAAACTTGGATTATGTAATCATGTTTTCTACTGGGACGTGAGTTTGGCATAAATAATTCAGCGGGATTTAAACTTGTGAAGTTAAAGTATATTTTATACATAGTGATTAAATCTAAATAATATCTTCTGAAAAGAAGTGGTTCTAATTGGAATAGTATTAATCTATCTTGATATTTTAGTTTTGTTTTTCTACATTTATTAAGAGCAGATCTTGTATAGTATTTTTGTACTCTTTCTAATTTTTTCACTAGATCTTTTTGTTTTGGGTTCCAGATAGGTGATGCGTACTCTAGGATTGGTAATACGTAGGTCTTAAAAATATTTCCCCAGATTTTAGGGTTATAAGTATGAACAGTTCTAAGTAATTGATGAACACGGAGGAATGCATTTCTACAGATTATATTAATGTGTTTTTTGAATGTTAATTTATTATCTACATAAATACCGAGGTCCTTTACTAATTCTACTTGTTCTATTTTATGGTCCTGTATAAAGTATGGGGTTTTAGGATTTTTGTTTCCAACATAGAGTACATAAGATTTGTTATTTGCAATAGCTAATCCCCATTTATGAGCCCAATCATTAACAAGATTGATTTCATCCTGTAGTAGAGTACTATTTACCTTGTACGAATAAGTTATTTTTAGGTCATCCGCATATAGTGAGGGGGTAATTTGATTTCCTAATTTGGCTGGAAGGTCATTTATATAAATAGTAAATAGAAGGGGACCTAGGATAGTACCTTGCGGTACACCAGAATGAGTATAAAAGATTTTTGATGTTGTATCATTAATTCTAACAGAGAATGTTCTATTGTAAAGGAAATTCTTGATCCATCTATGAATCTTACCCCTTATACCGTAAAAATGTAATTTACCTAATAAATAGTTTATAGGGACTTTATCAAATGCTTTTTGAAAATCAAAATAAATTATGTCAGTATTCTGATTGTTAATTAATCCTTCATACCATTTGGTAAGAATTATTATCATTTGGGTTGTTGTGGAACGTTTGGGAATAAAACCAAATTGGTGTTGCGAAAACAGATTATTTTCCATGAAAAATTTTAATATTTCAGAACTTAATATTTTTTCGAAAACCCTACAAGTTGTTGAGGTGAGTGATATAGGACGATAGTTTTGGATATTGCTCTTATTTCCATTCTTAAATATGGGAATTATTGTAACAGTTTCTTAGAATATTGTAACAGTTTCTTAGAATCTTATAGGATATATCCTCATGAGTAGAAGAATTTTTATTTGGAAGAGCCTTTAGTGTATTTGCTACGGAAAGTATGTCAAAATCAATATCGTCTAGTGTATTCTGAGTATTAATTAGTAAGGGAGGTTTTTCATAGCAGGACCCACATATATTATTAAAAATTTCAGAAAAATGAATTCCAAATAATTCGGTTTTTTTGGCATCATCGAAGATATATTTATTATCATGTAACAAAACAGGGATATTTTGTTTAGGTTTTAACGATTTTTTAATAAAATTATTAATTAATTTCTTATTATTGGAGATTAAAGAAATTTTGGAATTTAAGTAGTTTTTAATAAGATACTTTGTTCTGTTACAGACCTTATTATATTCATTCTTTGAACATTGATTTTGTTTGAGGAGGTTAAAAAGGTTCTGCTTATCCTTAATTGATTTTTTTATGTAGCTTGGGTATTTAAAACCGGATTTTTCTTTGACTGAAATGAACGGAATATATTGTTCTATAATAGACTGGACAAGATTATAAAAGTTATTGAATTTTTCATTAATCGTATTTTCTATATTGGGTGAGATTTCATTGAATCCTAGATAGTAAGCTAGAATAGGTTTAATGCGGTTAATGTTTTCAATATTAAATTCCCTGTATTGATGGATTGTATTATGGTCCTTACTTATATTAATATTGAAGCGAATAGAAAAATGGTCCGAATTGGAAAAGCCTTTATCTATATGTATCTCCTTAATTAAATCGTCTTTATTAGTAATAATTAAATCTAATATAGAGCCTGATATGTGAGTAGGTTCAGTTATTAGTTGTTTATATCCAAAATTTATGAGAAAGTCTAAAAATAATGTGTCATTTGCTATCGAAGAGACATAATCTTTCCATATTATTTTTGGTTTATTTAAGTCCCCACAGATTATAGTATTGTGAGTGTAATATTTAGTGAGTGTTTTAATAAGTTTAATATTAGAAGTATTTTTAAGATTAGGTGGGAAGTAAATGCAAATAAGCCGAACATTGGTAAACCCCTTTTTAATGATATCTATTATAATCATTTCATAACCAGATTGAGCTTCTTTATAAACCTCAACAGCTTTAATAGGGTTCTTAAGTAAAATTAAGACACCACCACCCCTAGTTTTTGTGGTACGATTGCATGCGAAAACCGAAAATATGCCATTAAAAGTTAATTCATTTGTAGTTATGAGATTATCACGAATCCAAGTTTCAGTTACGAATATAATATCAAAAGAGTTTAATAAAATAAAGTTTTTAAACTCATTAATTTTATTAATTAGGGACCGACTATTAAAAAGAATAGATTTAAGATTATGTTTAGAGTTATTATTATTTTGTGTATTTTGTATTGCACCTTTAAAATGAGCACTTGTTAGAGTATTTGGTGAGAGAACAGATGTATGGGGAAGTAATTGATTTTTTTGATAATTTTTATTAGAAAATGAATTTTCCCATAAAAAGTTTTGTCTCCCCCATTCATCCTATGCAAGAGATTTACGAAAAGTAGAAATATTTTCACGGAGGATGATAGTATTAGCATAAATTACCCAATCACCATTATCTTCCATCCGTTTTTGTTTACATTTGTCTTGTAATTCCTTGCGTGCATTGCGTTGCTCTGTAGTCATAGATTCACGGATATTTAGATTACGAAAAGAAGGTGTTTGTTTAAGTGTGTTACGTTGTCGTGTCCAGGCTTGGAGTGTTGCTTTCTGAAAATAAGATGCCGGAAAAACACATTTTACGAGAGGGGGAGCACCATTACGGGTTGGGTGGTCCTTGCCAAGCCTATAAACAGACTGAGGGCAAATCTCGATCCCCAACTTATCGAGAATACATGAGACATTATTTCTATCTTCTTGAGCTCGTGCTGATGGAAGAGGTTGTACTGATGTGGGAAGCCCAGAAATTACAATAGAACGCTGCCTCTCCTTTTCGGAGATTGCGTTGTCAATATCAAGTGTAGAAATAGTCTGTTGTTGGGACATATCAGAAATAATGCAAGCAGCGGTTTTGAGGAGGTTACCAAGTTGAGAAATAATTGTGCGAGCTGCAGGAGAAATGGATGTGTCGTCTTGAATTTGATCGAAATTTAAGCTCGAAATTTGATCGAGAAATTGTTGTCGCTTGGCAGGAAGGCCTGGGGAAGAAGTTGTCAAAGGCCGTTTAGTTGCTGATTTATTCGTAAAATCACTAAGAGGTGTTTGAGTATGTTTTTGGGGTGCCATAGTGTGAATAAAAATAAAGGCAGTAAAATAAAATAAGGTTGTGTTAAACTTGCTTAAGTTTTGAAAACTTTAAAATTAACCTAAATTAAATTAGCTAAATTTAGAAAATCAAAAATAATTTGTGTTTAAAAAGAGCAAAAATGTGTTTAAAATTAAAAAATAATTTGTTTAAATTGTAGAGTTAAATAAAAACGTCGCTAAATATAAAATGAGGAAGGAAAATATAAGTCGAAAGGAAATTTAGGTCTTATATAGGAAAATTAATGTGAATAAAAACATTTTTTTTACTTGAACGGATTAGAGTGAGAAAAAGCCCATGGTCCTTTTTTTATTTGTGGGATGCAATACAAATATTTTTGAATTTAAATTGATATTTGTAATTTCTCTAATATGTGTGGTAAACATAATCTTAAATGGATTTTAAATGTATTTATTGTATGGTTAAGAAAGATCTCTTTAGGGAGGAGATTCCAGATTTGTATAGTTCTGTTAAGGAATAAGTTGGCGGTTTTAGCATTTTTCCTTGAAACTTGGATTATGTAATCATGTTTTCTACTGGGACGTGAGTTTGGCATAAATAATTCAGCGGGATTTAAACTTGTGAAGTTAAAGTATATTTTATACATAGTGATTAAATCTAAATAATATCTTCTGAAAAGAAGTGGTTCTAATTGGAATAGTATTAATCTATCTTGATATTTTAGTTTTGTTTTTCTACATTTATTAAGAGCAGATCTTGTATAGTATTTTTGTACTCTTTCTAATTTTTTCACTAGATCTTTTTGTTTTGGGTTCCAGATAGGTGATGCGTACTCTAGGATTGGTAATACGTAGGTCTTAAAAATATTTCCCCAGATTTTAGGGTTATAAGTATGAACAGTTCTAAGTAATTGATGAACACGGAGGAATGCATTTCTACAGATTATATTAATGTGTTTTTTGAATGTTAATTTATTATCTACATAAATGAAAAAGTTTAGATATCTAAACTTTAGATATCTAAACTTTTTCAATTATGAAAAAGTTTAGATATTTTTATCTATTATAGATGGCATTGTAATTGTATTAGAATCATTTGCTGGCGGAACTTTTATTTATGTATTTTTCAAAAATATTTTCTCTGTTTAATTATTAAATTAGGTAACATTCTTCGAAGTACTTTCTCAAGAACGGGCCAATGAATTTTCTAATCTTGTACAGCTTTGTGCAATTGTTTTTGGTTTTCTTGTAGTTAGTGTTTTGCAAATAAATGAAAGTATTGCCGAAAAATAGTTTGGGAAATTTTAATTAAAAAATTATTTTTTGTGTTGTTTTTAGTGTAGAACGAGATTCTTCTACAAATGGAGTTTGAATGAAACTTTAATTGAATAAAAAAAGGAGAGGAATGAGAGGAAGTTGAAAAACGGAGATATTAAGTAATTACTATTGATAAAATATACAATGATTCTCATTTTCTTAAAATTTCATTCCTTTTCGTATTTTAAAAAATTTAAGGCGTTTAGGTAGGTATTTCTGACAAAATTAGTGATATAATCCTGACAAAAATATTTATGTAATCTCAACAGCTTTTGATATTCATTAAAGATAATAAAACTAATATTCAGGGAATGAAAGTCATTAATAAATATCATGGCACTCAATTAACCAATTCATCCAGTTATTTAAAAATGACAAGCCCTTCGGGGAATCTGAAATGTTGAAATTTTCCAATTTTTAACAAATAAAAACGCCTAAAATAGTATAATTTTCTCATAAATTCTATTTTGAATATTAAATTGTTTTAAACTAAAATTTAATCTAAAAATCACTTAAATATTATTTTCTATTTTTATTTATTTAAAAATCTTTTACTAAATTATCACTTAAACTTCTATTGATAACTTTAAATTTCTATCATTTTTCAAAGTATTTACTGTACTTTGTGATTTAGTAAATAAATAAATTAAAAGTTTTCTACAATTTTAAATAATCCGGAATTAGGTATTTTTGGGGGGAATATTTCGAAAAAATGAATTTCTAAGGGGGTAGCTAAAACTATGACCGGCAAAATCAAAATCTCAAGTAAATCCGGCCTGAGTCCGGTCCTGTGCCGGTCACTATTAAAAACTTTTTTAAAATTATTTTTCACTTAGATTTTTTGAATTTATCAAAATTAGTTTAAAATTAAATGGAAGACACGACAATATTTCAACAATTTATTCAGCATTTGCTGGAACAAAAATGAAATTGTCTCTTCGAAATTTTTGTAGAAAGTTTAGGTAGGTACTTAGATATTTTATTTGAATATTTAAATTTAATATTTTAATTTAAGAAAATACTTCCTAAAATTTAGTTTTCCTTTAAATTAATGACATTGCAATTTATATTTTGATTTTATTTGTCTCTTTCTAATCTCAATATTTTTTTGCTCGCGAAATGCACTCACAAGCAGAATTATTTTTATTAACCTACCTAAATACTTTACTAATTCTTATCTCATCAACATGTGCAAATTTTCTTTTAATTAAAAATGTGATTTTATTTAATTAATTAAATATTCAAAACATAAGATTTTTTTCTCATTTTGTTCTGAATTTGTCACATTTTTATAAAATTTATGACAAAGAAAATTTCTGGAATTTTATTTTAATTTTTGACTATTTAAATTATTAATAGTAGACATTTTAAATATTTAAGTATTCTATATTTCCAAATTATTTTACAAAGTTTATTTCTCCATTTTTTATAATTACATCATGGTGACTCAAATTTTTCCAGACACTCTCAATTCATTTAAATATAGCTTTTTTCTCTTCACATTATTTTTAGTATTTTATGCTTATTCTATAGCTCATTTAATTCTCTATTAAACGTTTATTAAATCTTTATTAAATATAATTTTCAGTTATTTCAAAAAAGTTTCCGTAGACTATATCAGAAATTGCCCTCAAAAATTCATTTCCACAACTCAATATTGGGAGTCCGATTGGGTGATCTGAATACAATTAAATTAAGTTTTTTACAAACTAAACAAATTTTAAATATAAAAAATTTGCTAAAAAATTGCCAACTTTCCACCCTGCACATATTTTTTTTCTTATTAAATACACTGCAATTAATTCCCTTGCCCACCAAACATAACTAATTTTTGTCTATTCTTTAGTCTTTAAAGTTTAATCAATTAATTACAATAAAAGCTATTTAATTATTTTTTGATAATGAATAGTAGACAAAATATTTATATTTTAAACTTCCCATTTTGTCTTGCAAAATACAAAAAAGATTTTTTAAATAATAATTTAAGAAGGTAAAAATATTAATTAAACTTTCTTTCCCAATCTCTCCCACACATTTTAATTCTCATTTAAATATTTTTTAAAAGAATTCTTCTTTCTCCATTTTCTACAACTTCTTTAATGTCAAATGAAGATAACAATCACAACCCAACACAAAATGGAAAAGAAAAACCGATTAATGGCCATAAAATTATCTTAACATCAGATAACTGGACGGGAGCACATCATTCGATATCTGAAGCTTTGCTTAGACATTCTGCTGGTTGTGATAAAGCTTATGGGGCTGGGGATTTGGATAAGAAAATTGAAAGAACTTTTAATCAAATTTTTGAGAGAGAAGTTGCTGTCTATTTTGTTGGAACTGGTTGGAAATTAATTTTAAAAAATAATTGGAATATTTACCATTTAAACAAATCCTTTTCTAAAGAACCCTCTTTTCAACCTTTCCTCCATTCTTATAAAAATAGGAATAAGGGAGACATCTTTCTCCTTGGATCACCTTATGAGTATTATTTTATCTAAATGATACTCTCAAGTAGCTATTTAATGATTTTTGAGATTTGTTTATCTTTCATAAAATTTTATATAAATATTAGGAACAGCCGCAAATGCATTGGCAATGGCATATTTGAACAGGCCAGGAGGAATAATTTTCGCTCACAAACACGCGTAGATAAATTCTTTTGTTTTTCAAAAATCTAATAAAAAATTTTTAGTCATTTAATTGAGGATGAATGTGGGGCTCCCGAATATTTTACTGGGGGTGCTCGAATGTTTGGGGTTGATGGGGCTTTGGGGAAGATGGATTCAGAGGTGCCAAAATAAATTTTAAAAATTATAAATTTATTTTTTAGGAATTAAAACAAGTTATTGCACGTTTTGCTGCCAATCCAGGCCATGTTCATTCTGGACAGGCAATGGCTGTTTCTATTACACAAGTAAATAAATAATTTTTATATCCATCCACACCTCTAAATTAATTTACAGAGTACAGAAAGTGGGACAGTTTATTCATTAGAAGAAATTAAACAAATTTCTAAAATCGCCCATGATAATGGCCTTCCACTTCATATGGATGGTGCTCGTTTTGCAAATGCATTGTGTGCTTTAAATTGTACTCCTGCAGAAATGAGTTGGAAGGCTGGGGTTGATATTTTATCTTTTGGCGCAACAAAAAATGGTTGTTGGTGTGCTGAAGCTATTATTGTGTTTAATGATATACAACAAGTAAATTTTGACATTTATTTAACAATGATCGTTCGGGAATATCGAAATCTTGACAAATAATATTTTAGATCGACTAGTCTCGAATCTCCTTTTTTAAATAATTAAAAAATTTTTTAAAGGCTGATCGCAATTTCCCTTATCTTCGAAAACGTGCTGCTCACCTTTTCTCAAAAACTCGTTTCGTTGCTGCTCAATTTGAGGCTTATTTCCGAGATGATCTTTGGCTTAAAAATGCCCGTCATGCAAATAAGTAAATATTTTTAATTTTCTCTTGTAAAAGCTTTTATTTAAACTTTAGAATGGCCACTCGTCTAGCTTCAATCATTCAATCTTCAAATAGTTGTAGACTTGCCTGGGAAGTTAGAGCAAATGAAGTTTTTGTTGTTATGAGCCGAAGTATTGTTGAAATGCTTAAAGAACAGGGAACGTGTCCATTTTATGGATGGAATGTGCCTGATAGGGAGAGAAAGTAGTGAAAATTATTAAATTAAAAATTATTTTGGATATGGTTTTGGAACATACCATAGGGGAACACAATTATAACACACCATAAAATGCAAACTTATTATTCTGACTGAAATTATTTTTGAACTTTTCTTAATTTAAATGGACTCTTATTAAATGGACTTAAATAATTCCAAATAAATAATTTTTTTAATTTAGAGAATTAAATCTTGGCCAAGAAGAAGGACTTTATCGTCTTGTTGCTACTTTTGCTACTACAAAAAACGAAGTTGATGAATTTGGAAAATTGCTTTCTCGTTTCTCTTAAATATTCTACAAAAATATATTTAATTATTTGAAAGATTATTTATAAAATTTTCCCTTATTTTTTGTCATCGAATTTATTGTCTTAAATAGAAAATAAAGCTGCTCTTAAATTTGATATTTAAAAAGCATTTATTAGGAAATTTATGGTAACACATTCAAGGCTTTGTAAAAAATTGTGGCAACTTGCTTTTGACTTCTCCTTACAAAATAAGAACCCTTCATCAGTTCTTAAAAATTTTTCTGTTTGTTTAAACAAATTTTGACCTATTTAAATTTCTAAAAAGGTCTCATGCAATAAATACATTTTATATATTTAAGTTCTTGAAAGAGAATATTAAATGGTGGTCGACCCTAATATTTTTTATTTACTTTTGAACAAACGGGGGGATGGGCAAATAAGAAACACATCAAGTGTTTGTAGTGGTCATCAAACACTTTATGTTTTAGACTGGTATTTAAATAATATTTAAAAATATACTATTTCCTTTTGAACGGGTTAAATTACTATTGATAGTGTTTAAAAAATAAAAAAAGTCAACAAAAAATTCATTTGTGTTTTTAACTTTATATCAAGAAAAGATAACCTCTCGCAATTATTTTTTTAATTATTTAATCTCATTTAAAAATACTTTATTTATTTTTTAATTTAATTCCTCTTTATTCACCATATTTTTTATTTAAAATTTTATTTCAAAATGCGAGCACAAACATACATATATTAAATACAATAGAGCGATGATTTTTGTTTGTGAATATTAAGAATATTTATATGTGTGTATTAAATGTGTGAAAATGATTGTTAAAAATGAAAATATATTTTTAGAAAATTTTTGAATGAGAAAATCTCATTGTGAGTGGACGTTAAGCGCCTCCATCCGGTTGTGTGAATTTATTTTATTTGAAGGTTGAATTTAAAGGGAAAAGCTTTATTTAAAGGATTTTATTGAATAAAAAAGGGAAAAGAAATACATAAAATATAAATTTAAATACAGTCGGATATTAGGAGAGAATTGAGATTGAAAAATTGTATTTTATAATGAGAATTATTTTATAATGAATGGGTACCGTTTATTATTGGATAGCCACCGCCCTCTCCCCTTCAACACCTCTCCTACCGGCAACAACTTTAAAAAGATCTCTAAAAAATTATATCTACATATACACTGTGTCAGAAAAAGATAGACGCACCCATATTTTTGCTATTATCTCGCTTTATCTAATGGATATTTTTGTAGAAATTTTTCCTGATATATCTTTTTAAGTGCTAAAATTAAAATAATCAAGAAAAATTTCCTAACTATTTTTTAAAAAATTCTATGTTCAATTTTTTGAAAAACGCCTGTCAGAAAATGATAGACGCACTTTGAAATTTCGAGTTTCGAACATTAAGAAAAATCTACAAAAATTTGGGCTAACATATCTATCGATACTAAGAGGAAATAAAAAAGAATTAGACCCATATCTCACTTCAGTGTTGTGATCCAGATACCTCAAAAATCAACGTAAATCGGGGGTAAGGCTATTTAAAAAATATTTTCGACCCCTTATGGTTTGTTTTAAATTTCCATTTTGGGCTCATTCGAAAGCCCTTAAAATTTGCTATAAGATAGCATAAGTTTTATTTTGTAGAAAAAATATTTCAGAAAGTTATTAAGTCTTAAATCTATAAGGCAGAGAAAAGCACATAAATGCCCCATAAAATTAGCGTCGGTAAATTAACGACCTACATCTGTCTACCAAATTTTTTCCCAAATATAAGATTCAGTTTATCTTATAGCAAATTTTATGGGCTTTCGAATGAGCCTAGAATGAAAATTTAAAACCAACCATAAGGGGTCGAAAATATTTCTTAAATAGCCTTACCCCCGATCTACGTTGATTTTCGAAGTATCTGTATCTCGACACCCAAGTGAGATATGGGTCTAATTCTTTTTGATTTTTTCTTAGAATCGATAAATATGTTAGCTCAGATTTTTGTAGATTTTTCTCAATGTTAGAAACACGAAATTTCAAAGTGCGTCTATCATTTTCTGACACTTGTTTTTCAAAAAATTAAACATAAAAATTTTTAAAAAATAGTTAGGAAATTTTTCTTGGTTATATTCATTTTAGCATTCAAAAAGATATAATAGGAAAAATTTATACAAAAATATCAATTAGATAAAGCGAGATAATCGCAAAAATATGGGTGCGTCTATCTTTTTCTGACACAGTGTATCTTAAATTAACTTGTTTCTATTTATTGTGTTATCTTATAGTGAATTTGACTTTAATATTCATTTTAGTTTTGCTTTACAAATTACTTAATTAGAATATTCCGTTTAAATTCATTTTTAAGTTAATTTAATATTTTAATAATTTACTTATTTTAAATTATTTTTAAATTAAAATCGACCTCAACAATTATTTTCAATTTCCATTCTCTCTACACCCATTTATTTTTGTAAAATCTAAAAATTCCGCCTGGCGCCTTCTCTCTTAACTGGCATTACAAAAAATAGGCTGGCGCCAGAGAGACAACAATAACCACTGTGGGATTCAGAACATAAAAAAGATTTACATAAATTTGGCTTGTATTTTTGCGCATAAATGAAAAAACACATTTACAATGTATTTTCCCTTCAGATATTTGTAATAAATAAATAAATTTTTAATAATAATTACCGGTGGTGTTTTTAAAACAATTATATTTACCTTCATAATTGTTAGGTGATAAATATATTTTTATTTGAATTTTAAAATATAAATTTAAAAAAATAAAGAAAAAACAAGCATTTATAAAATATTCAATAGCTTAAAAATATTTTAAAAATTAATTAGAAATTATGGTTATAAATTTGGAATTTCAAAATTGTCTACTGTCCTATTAACTTTATGTTTACCGATTATTTATTAATTAAAAATAATTATTAAATTAAAAAAAATTATTTTTAATTTATTTAAATTTTCTTTCAAATTTTTAACTAGCAATTTTCATAATGTACTATTAAAAATTTACATAAAAATATAGACTAGCTTATTTTCTTTTCCTTTTTCTTTTAACTAAAAACTCTCCTCCATTAATGGCTATTTAAATGTTTCTAAGTAAAAAAGTAAAAGTAAAGCTGCTTCTTTTTTTACTTTTTTTAGGAGGCTTTTAATGCTTTTTAAAACTTTCTTTTTTCTCCTTTTTTGTTAAAATAATATTTAAATGAATTTAAATAATTCAACAGTAAAATAATATTTTTCTAAAAAATTCTCTTTAGGGTTGAGGGCCCGGTCCGGTCCGAAATATCAAGTCGGGCTTCGATTTTGGCCCGAAAAAGACTCGGCCGGTTCGATCCGATAAAAATAAGGCCCGAAAGGGATGACTCGAATGCCGGGCCGACTCGAAAATTAATACATTATTAATATAATGTAAAGATATTTTTTAAATATTTTTTTAATTTCCAAAATAGCTTCCTATTTTTATCTACTTATTTTGTACTATTTAATGATTCATTGAAAAAATAAAATTTATTTTAAACAAAAATATATTTTTTGTACAGTCACTATTTTCGTTGAAAAATAATATTTTTTAACCATTTCTGGCCAATTAATTTGTGAAAGAGTTTTTGACGGAGAAAATGGCTTTTCTGAATTTTTATCGGCTTTTTATTTTTATTTTGATAACGGGAATGTGGAAAAAATTAAAATAAAAAAATTTATTTATTTATTTGGGGAAAGCTAGACAAAAATAAATAAAAGTACAAAAAATATTTATTTATTTTTTAAATTTAATCGAAAATAGCTAAACTGGAAATTAATTGTATTAAATTAAATTTAATTTTAAATAAAAATAAATAAATATTTAATAATTTTTATTTCTTAAAAATCTTTTTGGTATTAATTAATTATTTTATAATAATTAGAAATTGTTTTTTAAATTATTTGGAAGAATTTATTCCTTGTAATTTATTTTTTTCTTTTTTTTGACATTATAAAAAAAATAATAATTATTTCAGAAATATTTATTTTCTTCTTTTTTTATCTAAAAAAGCCATAAATAATGAATTAAAGTGTTCGTTGATTTTTTTATAATAATTATTTTTTTTGAATTTTATGCATAAACATTAAAAAAAATTTTTTATTGGCAATTTAAACAAAAAAATATCCTCCTTCTTTTCTTCTGTCCACCTGCATTTGCTTTTTCCGGTCATCCTTCTCTTTCTTCTCAATAACACATTTTATTTATTTAATTCTTTTTTCCCTCTTGTAAATACCTCCCCTCCCTCCCTCAATTTTCACATTGCGCAGCTCTTATTTATATGCTATTTTAGTAACCACCGGTGCATGCATAATTACCCTTTGGCAAGAAAAGGGATATATGAGAGAGGAAGGAATATACTAAATAAATAAATAAAGTATTTAATGAGTAGACTTTAATTGGCTAGAAAGTTTCGGCTTAGTTTAAGTTGGCATTTACATAGAGTGTCAGGGTTAGTGTTAATTTTAAATCCTGGGGCATTGTGTTTATCTATCTAAATTAACACAAAATTTAAAAATTTTTTATATTTTTTCTCCCACGCCCTTTTAATTTTAAATTCATTTTAAATTTATACTGTTTTTGGTTTCATCGTGAGAAAGGCAAACTTTATTTTTAAAAGGAAAATAAAATTTTTAATTAGGTATATATTCTTTTAAATTATCCCACACATTGAATAAATAGTCTTGGCAACATTTCCTTAATTTTCTCTCAATCATGCTTTTATGTAATTTTTAAATTAGTTAAAAATAGAGTTGTACCCCGACCCCGTACCCCGAACCCCGACCCAGTTCCCGAACGATTTTTTCACGATTCTCCCCGACCCGAACCCCGCCCCGAAAAAAAGTGAAAACCCCGTTCCCCGGCCAAAAAAATTTCGGGGTTATCGGGGTTTTATACCCCTAAAAAATGTCATTTTTTGGAGAAATTAATGGAGAAAATTTAAAAAATTTCCACCCATTTTTACTTTTATTATTTGTGAAAGAAAAATGAATGAAATATCATAATTTTCTTTCCTTCTTTATTAAA